GCTTGCCGTAGCTTGTTTCTTGTCCCTCTCCTGCTCCTGCTACTTCAGTCCTGGCGCCGGCATTAACATGAGTATTAATAATTACTAGAAGAGAAAGAAAAAAAACCCTCGCGGGCTTTGCGGAACCCGACCCGGGACAGCCAAGATCTGGGGCCGGGATGCGACTTAGGTAGGTTGCTAATGCGGCACTAGCTCAGGGGAAAGAGACGGAAGCTGGGGGAATTCGGGTTCGGTTCGTGTTGAGGGATAATAAAGTACCTGATACTGGAAGGTCTCGGCCTTCTGTTGGTACATGGTTCAGATGCCCTGACAGGTTCTCGATGCTACCTCGTCATGCATCTTCAAGGATCATGTCCGGCCTACCGAGCACTTGCTTATATTAAACCGATGCATCTCTCTACCTTGGCCAAGAGTTCATCCCAAGATCTGGCTGGGTTTTGCGCCCACGGCAAAGAATTCTTTAGCGGAACGGGACCACACAAGCTGAGGCTTTGTGGCTTTTGCCTCGTTCTTCACAGATGGGAATTCCGTCCAACAATTTAGCAATACGCACAGGCTGACGCTGGACCCTTTTTAGCACCGTCTTAGCGCAAGACGGGGCCTTCAGCCGGCGGGCCAAAGAGGCGGGGAGATGAGTCCGGCTGCGCGATCTAGACTAGAAATCGCCTCGAAGCGAAGACGGCCCCAAGCCCCCGAACCCCGGACGATTTCACAATCCCGGTAAAGGATGCGAGTCTAGGGGCACCCACCCGGGGAGGGGACCCAGTAACGACCAACGCTCTTTCAGCCTTCGAAAGAAAGAGGGCTTCTGTCATAAAAGAAAACAAGCATAAAGCTGAGTGCCTAGTGGAGCGCAAAAGCCAGTCGCCCCCAAAAGACCCTTGACCACCCCAACCCAAGCGCCATTCCCTTCATGACAGGGTTTAGTCAAAGCTTGCTGACTCTTTGGTCTAACCTTAGCCAAGTTTCCAAGAGGTGACGACTCGAGGACCTTGCCAGAGAGGCAACAGTTCCCCGAAGATGACAACCCCCCCGGCTCCTCATGCCAGATACAGAGATGCAGGCGAGTCAGTGCCCCTGATACCGTGCATGTCATCCATGACCCAACGTGCATTAGGCTAAACACCAGGGGAGAGGGATGACCCTAGTTGCGGTATATCTCACCAAGACCGTGTTGGTTCGACAACCTTCGCGCATTGCCCCAACCTGTGTGAAGCTGTCACTGTCGTCGCAGCCGCCGTTTTGGCCTCCCGCAACCGTTGCATAGCATAGCATAGCCCTCTTCCCTCTCCTCTCACCTGTTCTAATTTCCGTTGTTTCCGCTTCCAGCGTTCCGGTCCGAGGCCATCATGGATAACAAGCCAAACTATTGGAACCAGTGCAATTTCAAGCATGAAGGATGGAACGCTCGGCATTCGAAAGCGGATGATCTGACTCTCCCTCTTCGGGGCATCTTGAGGCGAGTTATATACTCTTTCTACTCGGCCTTCCTCTTCTGTTTCTCAACCCAACCCTCCCAACGCTCACTCTTTTTTCGGTTGGTGGCTGTCGATCCCCGCACCGCAGCTAATCTCCTGAAACTCCCCGAGTGCGCCTCACACTCTTTTTCTGTCACTTTTACTCTCGTTTTCTCCTCTTTTCAGTTGATCCTGCCTCTTTCGGTCAGAAACCAAGCCTCAAAATGCAACTCAGTCGGCGTGTGTTGGGCGGTCTCGTCGCCTCCTGGGTCTTCCACCACGTGGCAGCCCAGACCATCGTCGTCGATGGAGAGAAGACTGGTACGTTGGCCACATGGCACTCTTGTTCAGGTTACCTAATCTGACACACAAACTTTTCAGCTGCCAACTCTGAGAATGTTGACGAGGCCAGCGAGGTCGTGGCTGGAGACTACCTCCCTGAGGAAAAGGTCCAGCTCACGGACTCGATCCTCTCCAACCTGACCGACCTCCAGCTGACCAACGTCTCTGTCCTGTACTTTGACGACACCACTCAGAATGAGAAGCGAGCTCTCCAGGCTGGTCTGCCCAAGTGCAAGACCTTCCCTGGTGACCTTCTCTGGCCTGGCACCATCATCTGGAAGGTCCTTGACCTCGTCACTGGCGGTGCCATCATCAAGACTGTCCCCATCGGAGCTGCTTGCTACGATGAGTTCGGTGCTGTCGATGATGCCCGCTGTGTCCAGGTCATTGACAATTGGACCAACTCCTCTCTTCAGTAAGTTGTCACTTCCTCACAGTGCCGCAAACATGCATCTAACATGGATACAGCGAGGAAGACCCTACCTCGGTCATGTCGCCTCTCTACCAGGGCATGACCTGCATGCCTAGCGAGAACCCTACCGGTGACTGCACCCTTGGTGGCTTCCCCTCATATGTCATCGATGCCCGCAACGTCGCCCACATCCAGCTGGCCATCAACTTTGCCCGAACCCTGAACCTCCGTCTTGTCGTCAAGAATACCGGCCATGATTTCAATGGTCGCTCTACCGGTGCTGGTGCCCTCTCCATCTGGACCCATCGTTTCAAGAGCATCCAGTACTTCCGCTCCTTCAATGCCGGCTCTTGGTCTGGCCCTGCCCTGAAGGTCGGTGCTGGTGTTATCGGCTCCGAGGTCTATGAGGCCGCTGAGAAGTACGGCGTTACTGCTGTTGGTGGTGAGGGTATGTCTGTTGGCTATGCTGGTGGTTACCTCGCCGGTGGTGGTCACTCTCCTATGAACAATGTCCATGGTATGGCTGCTGACCAGGTACGTGATACTGAATTCGGTTTTTGATATACTTACTCATCATGTAACAGATCCTGAGCATTGATGTCGTTACCCCTGACGGTCGCTTCATTACTGCTAGTGACAAGGAGAACACTGATCTCTTCTGGGCCCTCCGTGGCGGTGGTGGTTCCACCTTTGGTGTCGTTACCTCCTACACCGTCAAGGCCCACCCCAAGACCAAGGTCGCTGTCATGTCCTTCTCGTTCGCTACTAGCGAGACTGTCTCTCACGAGACCTTCTGGCTCGCTGTCCGCGCCTTCTGGGAGCAGATTCCTACCTACAACGAGAAGGGCAACTATGAGTACTGGAACATCTGGCACGTCACTGAGGAGACCTTGGCCTTCTCCATGGTCCCTTGGTTCGCTCCTGGCTACACCCTTGCTGAGCTTGAGGCTCTCGCCGCTCCTCTGTTCAAGAAGTGGAAGGACCTTGGCATTGTCCCTCAGGTCACCAAGTCTGAGCACTCTAGCTATTACCCTGCCTGGAAGTCTGGCTTCCCCCGCGAGCTCGTCGGTGGCGTCGTTTCCAAGACTGCCGGACGTCTCTTCCCCAAGTGAGTTTTATCCCACAAACCATTTGTCGTATAGCTGCTAACCCCATACAAGGGAGAACTTTGTCGATGCCACCAAGTTCAATGCTACCTTTGACGCCCTCAAGGGTCTCTCCGACAAGGGGGGCCAGATCATTGGCTTTGGTATCACCGGTGGCCCTGGTCCTTTCCCTGATAACGCTGTCAACCCTGCCTGGCGCAACGCTGCCATGTTTGCCATCTCAGTTATCAACTGGCCCGAGGGCAGCTCCTGGGCTACCATCGCCCAGGAGAGCAAGAAGCTCACCAACGAGTGGATGAAGCCCTGGCGAGACGTCTCCCCCGGAAGCGGTGCCTACGCCTCCGAGTCGGACGTCACTGAGCCCGACTTCAAGCAGTCCTTCTACGGCACTGCCAAGTACGACCGTCTTCTGTCCATCAAGGATGACGTTGACCCTACTGGTCTCTTCTACGCTCTCCAGGCTGTTGGCAGTGACCGTTGGTACATTACCAACCAGATCGATGGCGTCCCTACTCAGAACGGCAAGCTTTGCCGAGTTTAAGACTCACGAGGCGTGGAGCTTGATTGGCAAGCATACAAATAATCAGATAGACACCTTGCAACCAAGGTTTACCCACGTACATGGCGTTTTCTAGACGTATAGAAGCATCTGTCTTGTAATTGCAGAGTTGTAGAGTTAGCCATTCGCTTGAAATACATTAATACTGAACCATTATCAGAGAACTCCGCATTTCAGGACCTACATAATTTCATCTGCACAAGTTTATGCTAATTTCACTAACCTGACACAAGGTTGGCGCAAAGGGATGGATGGAATCTGGGCTCTTCCTTGCGTGCCCGACGGCAATCCAAGTCCCAATGCCTCACGTTTGATTTCCTTGAAAATCAGACCAGTAATTCCCCCAGGGATCGAATTTCAGTCCTTATCCTACCAACCGACGCTCGTTGCCGTACGTCGATTCAGCTGCTGCTGCTCCGTACTTCGGTTTTGATCATCTTACCTTGATGACTTGGACCATGATTACCTCGGCCTTGATTACTTCGGCTTTGATGACCGTGACCAATGACCCTTGTTACTGTCGCATTGCCTCAGTCGGCCGCCACTTCCTGGTTATGTACTTCTGGAGTAGAGCTGCCAGCCTGTCTTCTTGCATTACTCCTATCCTGACTCAATAGCGTCCAACTAGCGAATATCGTCTTCTCATTCTTTGCTGGATTAGCCGTCTTGGCAGGGAGCGTTGTGACTGTGACGGTTGTCAAAGTGAGCGGTAAGATTAACCGTCTTGCAGATTTGCTGAGTACATGGCGGCCCTGGACATCGCAAAACGTTATACACTAACCGCTACGGATCTAGCACGTACTCTTCATCAAGCCGAGTGTTCCGTTCCGCTAGCTGATAACAGCTGTGGGATGTCTGGCCCCTTTCCAGGTAGTTAAAAGCAACATGGACTCGCATGTTCTTCCCATTGCGGGTTAGATGGCTCCATGTTTGCAGTAGTGTCTCCTCTACCAGTTACATATCATCACAAATACTAGCAATCGTAATAGAGCATTGCATTTCTTTAAAGGCTGGCTTCCACTGGGGTCATTGGCTTTCTATTAATGTCGAGGTCCAATGACCGACAGATGATCACTCGCCTCAGGAACAAACACTCCCATCCGCGCCATCGTCAAGACCACTTGTCAGTATCCAAGTCTCTCTAATGTTGAAGGTTTCTCATAAGGTCGTTCCCAGTGAGGGTTAAACTCATCTTGCTGCACACCTGTACCGTAACCGATGTAGCCCCTGGGGCTAAAGGGTGGAGGTCCAGATCCGTAAACATAGTCTTGGACCTCCTTGTTGAGACGGATGTACCGCCCTTCTCGGTTGGCTTGATTAAACGTAATAAGCACGCAGATCTTGACTTTTGCATCGACAGGCCGGTCTCTCCAACCGAGCTTATCACGGATGTCGCTCAAGAGGCCGCAGTAGTTGCCTTGCTCTTCAAGAAAGGCGAGAAAGCTGAGCTCGACTGACTCCAATGTGGACGGAAGCTTGGCGAGAAACGAGACAAGATCATCTTGGGCCACCTGCATGCGGGATAACCCAAAATGCCTGAGCTTTGTCCAACGATCGATGGGGAACACACTGAATAGCGAAACGAACTCTTCCATGCTGCCCCCTGTATGGTACCCATGTTCCTCATAGTCAGATTGCAAGCCAACATGCTCCAAATCGGGTGCCCCGGCGAGGGCCTTGTACAAATCCCCGTTGCGATACGTGTCCCAACCATCAGCCTCCTCGTCCATCAGGTATCCTACAAGTAAGGAAACCTCGACACGCCGGAACCCAGGACGCTTGAGAATGGTGCAGAAGTTATGATACTCCTCACTTGGTGGATGAAAGGCAAAGTGGTTAATCCCGGTCGTGATCTTGTGGTTGTCAAAGATCAACTCCGAGACATGGTGATGTTGCTCTTCGGCTAGGATGCGCGTGGCAATGCGAAATCCACGCCATTGGTCCTTTTCTTTCTCAATGGCTCCATCGCCATCCCATGGTGACACTGGGTCTCGATTGATGCCATCGCGTGGGACTTGCCAGCCTCGTGGGATGGGATAGAGAAAACCATAAGGCAGGTTTCGAATCATGGGTGTCTTGTATAGAGGCTCAAATAGAAAACCGTGGGCCGCTGGTGTGACGGTGACCCTTTTCAGACGAGGGAAACGCCGCAGAGCGTACCGGAAGGCATCCTCGTCAGCACGCAACTGAAATATGTACTGTTGTTGTAGCACGAGGACTCGGTAGTGCTTGAGTGATTCCCGGAAAGACATGGCATTGGCCAACTCTTCTTGTCTTGCAACAGTGTCGGGTCGATTTTGGCGCATCATGCGTGATTTGAGATGGGCGATGCTGATTTTACAAAGTCGGACGAACCATTGAAGCACAGGTTCTTCCTCTTCGTCAGAATCTTCAGCATCCGGGTCCCAACCGTGGCTATTCGGCCCTTTCTCTCTTTGGATGGGTTTCAAAGTGGCATCATCCCAGATGATCTCCTCCACATCTCGTCGAAATGTGTCGTGGTCCGCGATGCCGCGGAGAGCGTCGAGGTTGTGTAGACCAGGGGAAATGAAGACACGGCGCAGACGCAGCTGAGCTTTTTCAGCAAAAAAGCGGCAGGTAAGGCGGAGATTCTTGATGTCACTGTTTGGCAGGAGATGGCAAATAGAGCCGACCAACTCGTTGGGCAGACGGAGAAATGGAGCCGAAGGCGGGCTGCTGGCTTTGGACATGATTGATGGCAAGTATGGATGTAATGGCAGGAATGGGAGATGCTTGATCGAGCGATCGACGGTGTGATGAGGGATAATGAAAGGAAGGGGTTGGAGGAGAGGGAAAGATTACCAGCCAACAGCCAGATCCTGGACCAACATCAGGCAACGTTGGTTGTGACTGGGACCAACAGTGGGCTACTGAGGTGGATAGCGCATCCTTCCTGTGAGAGGATCCAAAGGACGCGGCCAACGCTGCTTCACGCTTCCAGTTGCTCCATACGGAGATTGGCAACAACTATAGCCCACATAGACAGACTGACAATTACCCTCGAACGACTAAACAACAAGAAGCAGAACTCAAGTGATGCTCTTCAGCTGATATGCTAGCTAAAGGCCATAGTGACACCAGCACAGGCAAAAACATGTACTAACAAGAACCATATCAGCGAATAATCTGTAATGGGCTATCGCAACGTGCTAGGAAAACAGCCGACTGCGTTTGTTCTCAGGGGAGCAGTCGCTCTTTTGTTGAGATCCTGTTTCTCAGTTAGAGGGCTAGATCGACTGCTCGAATCGCTCTTAGCCTCTGTTAAATGGGTACGAAACACGCAGGCTGCAATGGCAGCTGGCTTACACAGTCCGATAAAGGCCGGCGGTGAAATGTAGCTAGCCATTGAGCATACAATGGTTCAATTACTGGGTAATATAGGTTAACAAATAGATAAAATGTTAAACCCATTTTTAAAACTTGGAAGTAAATGCATATAAATAAACTAAAAGAATATCATAATATAATAGACATATTAGATTTCTTTCTTGCATTACTTTTTGTATTCCTCTTAGGGCACAATGAACCAAGGGAGATAGATATATGTGTCGGTATCTTGTCTTTTCCTTGACCCACGTGCATGTGTCAAAGATCCCCAAGATTTCAGTCACTGCTAGGAAGGCGAGATATCCGAACATCTCACCCAGAAGATCTTATCTGCCTTGTTTCCCCTTGCCAAGGCGCCAACTAACCTGCCGACTTCCGAAATTCTATCTCTGCCACTAGGCGGCTTGGCATGCCAGACGATGCTTTGTGTACCCATGTTACAAGACTGCCAAGGAGATGTGAGTGATCAGAACGTTTAGCCCATTTTCATATATATCAATAAGGGTGCCTTTGGCTTGGCCGACTTTCGTGACCTTGGAGAGGCTTCCAAAAGAAGCCATCAGCCACAACAAACAACATAGTCATTGACACATGCCGGTATTAATGGCCTTGAGACGATAGTGGGCAACCGAGTCCGAAAACATCGGATAGACTCATCGGGACTCGGCGTTGACTGTTTTGCTGTTGCAACTCAAGGCATTCAAGAGGCGGCTAGGCATGGCTGTGTCTGAGGGTGTCGATACGTGCAAGCAACTTCAACCAATAACAGCCCGGTCGAAGCAGGAGAGCTTTGGATTTGATTATCTTTGGAAGGCTGATGGAATCCTTTCTTCTGGTACGATGAAGAAGCCATGGCGCTCAAATAGCGGCCCAGGGGTATTGGAAAGGAGGATAAGCGTCCCTCCATTGATAGTAGCGACACGAAAGTTCAATCAACTAATCAAGTAAAAGATTGGTTACCTTGAAGTTGAAAAAGCCAGACGAAGGATAGCCTGGCTCAAAGCTCCAAGACTGATCCTTGGGACTTCCCCAAGAGCAATGAAAGCGTTGCTTTCACCGAGCTTGGCCCTTCAATCATGACGATGAACAAGATGAGGATATCCAAACCAACGAGAGAGAAAGAGAGAGAAAAAAAAAAACTGGCCGGTTATGGAGACGCACAACTCAAGCCGTTGTCGCATTACAAATCGTCACCGCCAGTTAAGACTGCCGAGGTCAATAACACAGCGGAATCATCACATCAGTCAATATCATCCCACAGTAAACTCCGGAAACTCGGCGCATGGCTTCCCCAAACAGGGTTAACTAGCAAGCATAAATCCCCCGGGTCTCCTCTCCACAAACAGGAAGCCCATAACAGGGCCGAATACAAGTGCGGAGAAGTTCCCGGACTGAGCTAACACCCCGGCCTCTCCCCAGATCCACTCGGCACTTGGGGACCATCACGAGAATGCCCTCACCTCATCCACCCCCGGAGAGCAAAAGCCCAGTTTCTCGGTTCTATAACGGCGGTATTTCCCACGGGTGGAGCCGTGATCTGCTTCCCCGGTTTGTCATGATATCACTCTACCAACGGTCCGGTCCCTGCAACGGCGTCATACCACCTAGAGAAAAACCTCGCGAGTCATCCGCCCCTCGGGAAACCATACACGATAGGACCACACGACGAGGAAACCTCGGATAAACGTCTGAGAAAGTCTGGCTAATATCCCCCGACGATCACCTCGAAAGTGGGAATGCCATCATGCAAATGAGCCCACCAGTTCATTGCTCCGCATCATTTTTTCTCGATTATCCCCGCAGCTCACGAGGACGGACATGCGGAATGTGGGAATTGAGAAGGTCGAGCTAACTTGAAGAAAATGAAAGGACCGAACTCGGGCAGCCATCACGAGAATCGAAAATGGCATGGAGAGTGGAATCAGTTGGTGTCGGCTCATGAAGTCGGGAGACGATGAACGGTCGAGTTATTGTATATAAGGTGGTTGAAGATCTCGATATTGGGAGAAGGAACAACAGCACCGCAGATCGCCATTGCAACCTCACTCAACTACAATGGCTAGCCTTTGTTCTCTGTTGTTGACTGGCCTTTTGGCCTCGACCGCCAATGCTCAGCAGTATGATGGTCGTGATCGTGAAGAAGACGCCTTCAGTTATATCCAGCCCAAGGACACTGTGATCCTTGGACAATATGGACACTCGCCTTCCGTCCCGGCTCGTGAGTTCATCTTCTCGAGGTGAAATACTCGACTAACACGCATCCAGCAAATGTTTCTGGCATCGGCTGGGAGACTGCCTTTGCCAAAGCCCAACAGTTCCTGTCCGAGCTGACCCTCGAGGAAAAGTCGGATCTCGTCACGGGCCAGCCCGGCCCTTGTGTCGGAAACATCGTGGCCATTCCCCGTCTCGGCTTCAACGGCCTCTGTCTCCAGGATGGTCCTCTAGCCATCCGAACAGTCGACTATGCCAGCGTCTTCTCTGCCGGTGTCTCGGCAGCCTCCACATGGGACAGGGCCATCTTGTATGAGCGCGGTCTCGCCATGGGCAAGGAGTTCAAGGCCAAGGGTGCTCATGTCGCTCTATCACCTGTCGCCGGACCCCTCGGACGTTCCGCATACTCGGGACGAAACTGGGAGGGATTCTCCCCAGACCCCTACCTGACTGGTGTCGCCATGGAGAAGACCATCCAAGGCCACCAAGACGCCGGCGTGCAAGCCACCGCAAAGCACTACATCGGCAATGAGCAAGAGACTATGCGCAACCCTACCAAGGACCCCAACGGCACCGTCACAGACGTTCTCCAGGACGCCGTCTCTGCCAACATTGACGACAGAACTCTGCACGAGCTCTACCTCTGGCCCTTTGCCAACGCTGTCCATGCCAAGGCGGCCAGCTTCATGTGCTCGTACCAGCGTCTCAACGGCTCATACGGATGCCAAAACTCCAAGTCCCTCAACGGTATCTTGAAGGAGGAGCTTGGCTTCCAAGGTTATGTCATGTCTGACTGGGGTGCCACTCATGCCGGTGTCGCTTCCATCGAGAGTGGTCTTGACATGGACATGCCCGGAAGTATCGGCTTTGGTGATCGCAGAAAGGGCTCAATGTTTGGTGGAAACGTCACTCTCGCCGTCAACAACGGAACCCTCGACGTTGCCCGTGTTGATGACATGATTCTTCGCATCATGACCCCTTACTTCTGGCTCGGACAAGACCAAGACTTCCCCACTGTTGACCCATCCTCAGCTGACCTCAACACCTTCTCTCCTCGATCCACCTGGGTCCACGAGTTCAACCTCACCGGTGAGCGCAGCCGTGATGTCCGTGGAAACCATGGCGAGATGATCCGCCGACATGGAGCTGAAGCCACTGTCCTTCTCAAGAACGAGAAGAACGTCCTCCCTCTTAAGGCTCCCAAGTCTATCGCTGTGTTTGGCAACGACGCAGGCGAAGATACTCAAGGATTCCTCAACCAAAAGAACTTTGAGTACGGAACTCTCGTCGCTGGTGGAGGTTCAGGAACTGGCCGACTTACTTACCTCGTCACTCCTCTTGCTGCTATCAATGCTCGTGCCAAGAACGATGGTTCCATTGTCCAGCAGTGGTTGAACAACACCCTCATCATTGACTCCAACGTCACTGATCTCTGGATCCCAACGCCACCTGAGGTCTGCCTCGTCTTCCTCAAGACCTGGGCCGAGGAGGCTGCTGACCGTGAGCATCTTGACTCTGACTGGCATGGCAACGAGGTCGTTGAGTCTGTCGCCAAGTCGTGCAATAACACCATCGTCGTGACCCATTCCTCGGGCATCAACACCCTCCCCTGGGCTGACCATCCCAACGTCACTGCTATCCTGGCGGCTCACTACCCTGGGCAGGAATCTGGTAACTCGATCGTGGATGTGTTGTACGGAGATGTCAACCCCTCTGGCAGACTTCCTTATACGATTGCCTACAACGGAACTGACTACAATGCTCCACCTACCACCGGTGTGAACACAACTGGTCAATATGACTGGCAGTCCTGGTTCGATGAGAAGCTCGAGATTGACTACCGTTACTTTGATGCTAAGAACATCTCTGTGCGCTACGAGTTCGGCTTCGGACTTTCGTACTCAACATTTGAGCTGTCCAACATCCAGGCTGAGCCTCTGGTCGACGGCATCACCTCCAAGCCTGAGGCCCAGCCCATCCAGCCCGGTGGAAACCCAGCTCTCTGGGAGGGTGTCTACAACGTGTCCGTCGCCGTGACCAACACCGGAGACCTGAATGGCGCAACGATTCCTCAGCTCTACGTCACCTTCCCCGAGAGCGCGCCCGAGGGCACACCCCCTAAGCAGCTGCGCGGCTTCGAAAAGGTCTGGCTCGCGCCCGGCCAGAGCCAGACTGTTGGATTTGAGTTGATGCGTAGGGATCTGAGCTACTGGGATATCATTTCGCAGCAGTGGCTGATCCCCAGCGGAGAGTTCACCCTGAGCGTTGGCTTCAGCAGCAGGGACTTGAAGGAGATTACTAAGATTACGCCGGTAAATGCTTGAGGCAAAGGGGTTGATGAAAGTCGATGATAGTTGATGATAATGATGTTATATGAATGAAGAATGCTTTAGCCGATCGCTTAAATCATTGCCCCCGTCCAAGTGAATGCCCCATAGCTCCAGTGTCGTCTGGATCCTGTTCTCGTGGCTCTCCGAGTGGTATTATCAGAGGACAGGGCTCCAAGACAGAGCAGTGCCTATCTCGTTGTCCAGCCATTGACATAGATCCCCAGACTCATCAAGCCACTCAATCTCAGCCTTGACTCCAAGGGCGATCATAACCTGAAGCTCTCGCCTCATTTCAAGCGTTTCGGTATCACTTGATGAAAAGCTTCCTAGCTTCTTGAGCGCCGAAACTGCTACCCCTCGCTCCCTCAGACCCAGATACGATATGGGCTCGCGGCATGCGGTAGATGTGATGGACACTTGTGTAGACTGGCTACTCTGGTAGAAAAGACGCGGGTCTATAGAATTGGTGTCGGCGCACTCTTGAATCAACTGGTCAGATTTGATGCCCAGCCATTGAATTGCTTGCGTGTCGAGATCAGCTTCATGGCTCAGTCTATCGGATCCGTGACGGTAGCATCTCAAAATTCGGACACCATCGGGGTCGTAGTCCACCAATCCCAGTATAGACAATTGAGGATGGCGCGTGCTGATATAGTTTAAGAATGCACGCGTCGTCAAATCGGGGTATCCTTTGGCCTATTATGCGTGAGTTGACCCCTGAACAAAGGAGACCAGTTAGGCCTTACGGTAACGAGTACACCAGGGCCGAACACTGAATTTCTCCAGAATTGAGATGAGCACAATGATCGGAAGATGGCCTGAGTTATTAGTCTTGCCGCCAATCAGACATTGTATCACTTACATCCTTTTCCACAACTAGAAACCACTTGACATGGTGGAGGTGGACTGCAGAGACTGACTGGATGGCCGGGATGGCAACTCCCTGAACCAGTCAAGGACTAAGCAATGACTGAAACCACATCAATGCTTACCAGGTCTCCAGAGCAGGGATCCAAAGATGTGCCATCGGTAAGGTCAATGGTCAATGGACCAGCCAAGACACCCTTTGAAGCTGCCACCTGCTGGGGTCAGTATCAGACATCAAGTGTACACGTTTCATCACGAACGATGTTCAAATCAGCGCGACCAATGCCGAGAGTAAAGGCAATGTCGTCCACAAGTTCATCAACTTGGGCTTGCCTCTTAAACAGATCCTGATGTTGATAAAAGATGTGCCTTCGACGAGGCTATCAGTCCACAATCACGACGGTGCAGGGGTTCTACGAACCGCTTCGTCAGAATTGTCCCAGACACAAGAGCGTCATGTGACAACTGTAGAATAAGAAGGATGCGTGCTACAGTGTCTCAGCAGAAGTGTCACAAATAGCAAGCCATCCTACCAAACTTGACGGCCTCTTGCTGATTTCGGCCGGGGAAGCGGACCTCATCAGGCTGACCACGGCTCCGCGCCGGCCTCCGCGGCGTGAAAGTGATTGACAGCTCTTGGCAGGCGGAGACGGAGTCGATGATTTGCGACAGGATGTTTTCGATGCGGGCCACGACAGTCCCGACGGTAGGTCCGCCCGCCGTCGTATTCGTATCGGCATTGTCGTGATCGTTTGCTGCTGCTGCGGCTGTCAGTCGTTGGGCATTGTCGTGGTGTGTTAGTTGTGGTGTAGCAGGTTGATGAGCGGTGAGCCTTGAAAAATCCATTGTCGCTTGACACTGCGCTCATAGCAAGAAGTTCACGGTGATGAAGCTGTTCACAATGTTAAAGGCAGAGCCGCAATTTCAAGATGAAAGTCGCAATGTTTCACTTCCACGTGCAGCGGTCTAGCGACGGGAACGCCGTTTAGAAGTCGGTGGGGGCAATTAGCGCTCAACAGCAGCTGCTTCAGGGCCTTGACCGCTAAAATCTGGGGTCCTCGGTAGGTACCGGACCCGGGTCCCGCGGGCGCGCTTGCAGCGACTCCGGCTCCGTCTCGAGAGTGACAGGAGAAAAAAGCACATGCTCCGACCAATTCATTTAATGCTCCTCCACCGCCTCTTCAATTGCTTCTCGAGAGCATCGCCAGACCTCGAGATCGCACCTGTCACTCCTTAAAGATGGCAATTGTGACTGGAAGTGACGTCACGGCCGTCAAGGTCAAGGTCAAGTCGCGTAAGCGCGCTGCCGACTCGGAGCCGGAAGTGAAACAGGGCCTCGCATTCCCCAAGCAGCCGCGCATCGAGGCCAAGACCGACAAGACGAGATGGAGGATCAAGGACGACGACAGCAACCACACCTGGCACTACCTGGCCGACGACGAAGCCGCAAAGGAATGGCCTCAGAGCTATGCTGAGAAGTGGTACTTGAATCTGCCTCTGGTACGTGCGCCCCTGAGTTTGATCTAAGCTTGGTTCCCCTGTCGATGCTGATGCTGACCTCCTGCAGGATCTCCCCGAGTTGCCAAAGCCCGATAGCCCATTGGCCGCCGCGACGAATGGCCTCGAGTTCTTCGAAAAGCTTCAGCTTCCCAGCGGTCACTGGGGTTGCGAGTATGGCGGTCCTATGTTCCTCCTCCCCGGCATCGTCATCGCTTGGTACGTGACCAAGACGCCGATTCCCTCTGGCCATGCGACCGAGATCAAGGACTACCTGACGGCACGAGCACACCCCGAAGATGGCGGTTGGGGTTTACATATTGAGGGCGAAAGTACCGTGTTTGGCACAGCGCTGAACTATACGGTTCTTCGACTCATTGGCGTCGACCCTGAGGATCCCATGATGGTCAAGGCAAGGGGCACACTTCACAAGCTGGGAGGCGCACTTTATGCGCCGCACTGGGCCAAGTTCTGGCTGGCTGTGTTGGGCGTGGTGGACTGGGACATTGTTAACCCTGTGCCTCCTGAGCTCTGGCTTCTCCCCGACTGGGTTCCATTTGCTCCTTGGCGGTGGTGGATTCATATCCGCATGGTGTTCCTGCCCATGGGATACCTCTACTCCAGGAGGTGGAGCTGTGAAGAGACCGATGTGATTCGAGGGTTGAAGCAGGAGTTATTCCCCGAGAATTATGCCAGCATCAACTGGGCCAAGCACAGAAACAGTATCACGGTTGTCGACAACTATCACCCAAAGTCATGGCTACTCAACACGGCCAATTGGTTCTTGGCCAACATCTGGCAACCATATCTCCGACCCAACTACATCAAAGACAAGGCGGAGGCTTGGGTCAGCAAGCAGGTAGACATGGAGGATGCTAATACGGATTATGCCGACCTGGCTCCCGTCAACGGAGCCATGAACACCGTCATGTGTTATGTCCGCGATGGTCCCGGTGCTTATAGTGTAAAGAGGCATGTCGAGCGCCTTGAGGAGTTCCTGTGGGTCAAGGACGAAGGAATGCTCGCCAACGGCACCAACGGTGTGCAGTGTTGGGATACGGCCTTTACGATCCAGGCCATCTTTGAAGCTGGTCTTCATAATGATGAGAGGTGGAGGCCCATGTTGCTGAAATCGCTTCATTATCTAGAGCGCCACCAGATTCGAGAGAACTGTGTGGACCAAGACATATGCTACCGACAGCCTCGCAAGGGTGGCTGGCCATTTAGCAACAGAGACCAAGGCTACGGTGTTAGCGATTGTATCTCGGAAGCTCTCAAGGCCATCATTCTGCTCCAAAAGACGGATGGCTTCCCCCAGGTCCTTGAAGACCAGCGCATCTTTGACGCTGTGGACACCCTGCTGCTGTATCAGAACCAAGACACGGGCGCCATGTCGTCATACGAGAGGCGCAGAGGAGGGGAGTGGATGGAGATGCTCAACGCCGCCGAGGTGTTTGGTAGAATCATGATCGAGTACGACTACCCCGAGTGCACGACAGCCTGCGTGACAGCCCTGTCGCTGTTCCAGGAGCACTGGCCTGATTACCGAACCGACGAGATCAACAAGGTTATCCGAGAGGCAACCGAATGGATCAAGACCAACCAGCGACCCGACGGCAGCTGGTACGGAAGTTGGGGCATCTGCTTTACTTACGCCTCCATGTTTGCGCTTGAAAGCATGGCACATGTTGGACAAACATATGCCACAGGGATTAACGCAAAGCGTGGATGTGATTTTCTCCTCTCCAAGCAGAGACCCGACGGCGGGTGGTCAGAAAGCTACAAGGTAAGCCCCCTCCTGAGTCAATTGCACGTATATATATACTAACACACGCAGGCCTGTGAAACCATGGAGTACCACGAGCACCCCTCAGGTTCCCTTGTCGTACAAACCGCATGGGCCCTGATCGGCCTCTTCGAGGCAGAATACCCCGACGTGGAGCCCCTGAAGAAGGGAATCCAGTTCATCATGGACCGGCAGCAGCCCAACGGGGAGTGGCTGCAGGAGGCGATCGAGGGTGTGTTTAACAAGTCTTGCATGATCTCTTACCCCAACTACAAGTTTAGCTTTACCATCAAGGCACTCGGCATGTTTGCAAAGAGGTTCCCAGAGGAAAAGATTGTGCCGAGTTGGGCGCATAAGGTTAATGGGGTGAAAGCTTAGAGTATACAGATAGAGGAGAAGATGCTGGCATCTGCAGAGCTGGGGCCGTGGCCTCTTAATGATGGCAAGACTTACCAAGAGCTGTCAGGGTTTATAGAAGGAGATATTACCAATATTCATTAATTCCAGTCTTTCACTGTCTTTGTTTGGTTCGCATCGTCACTGCCAATGCCATGATGGGTTGTACCTGCAGCAAGCAGCAACCTAAAAGGCCAAGTCCGCAGGTCGCTGACCGGGATGAACGAAGACCATCCATCATCATGAAACTCTTTTCACGCAAGAAGACCATGTCTGTGGAAGAGAACCTAGAACCTGCCGTCTCGCAGGCTGAATTCTTTAATGAAAGGGTCGACGTCGGCGAATCCGATACGGGGTCATCTCCAACGCCTTCAGAGGTGGAGGAAGCGACCACCCCCGTCGCACTGCATTCACAGCTCGATGTGAATGAGAACAATGAGCCGCCAGACGAACCGCCAGGAGATGCAATTCCAGCAGAAGAGCCCCCAGCGGAAGAACTTCCAACAGGTCAGATTCCAGAAGACTAGCTTTCTTCTGAGAAACCGACTGTCGATCCGCGTATTCGTCTCGTCAACGAGCCTCTCACCTTGCCACTCCCGACACCTCCAAGTGACTTTCCATCCACTAGCGAAGAACGAGGGCCGGCCCGATCCCAGTACAGTCAGTCTACACCAGGAAGAGGCCAGTCCAGGCCAGAGGAAATACAGCCCGCACCAAGACAAGGCGAACATCGATCTGGGGAAAGACTGCCTCCAGCAGACCAAGCCAACCGATCGCCAAAGTTACGGTTTCCAGCGGTTGGACCAGATGGCTGTGCTTTCTACGGGAGACTGTACATCAACGTTCCTCCGGCCACAGAGACTGAGGAGTTTGGTGAGCGCACGGAGGTCAAGGCCTACCTCCCCTGTGGCCACGCATTTGGTCACAGATGCCTCAATCGCTACATGCAAGCTCTGAAGTATGAAGGGACGCAGTCAGGGGAGACACAACCAGGAGAGACACAGCCTAGACGGTGTTGCCCATGGGGCAATTGCATCCCCCTACGATACAGGTGTGGGCATATGTGCACACCACAAAGAACACTCCCTACGCCTCTCGATACTATTTCTATCAATACCGCCAAAAGACAGCCTGTATTGATCGGATTCTGCGAATTCTGCCTATCAGAAGAAGGCCACTCCATCTGTCAGCGGATCGGAAAACACAGAACAAGAATGATACGCCACCGTGAGAGCTGCGCGTCGTCCTCATTTTTGAAGAGGCAGTTCCACAAGGCCAGCACGAAGTATTTCCAAAAACGCCAAAGAAAGGAGGAGAAGAATCTCGACAAGGCAGTTCAGGCTCATGAACATAGCAGAGCCAAGAGCTTTTACAACCAATGGCTCATGGAGTCAAGACGATCGAAGGAATCCCGCACCCAGACTTCCTCAAGGAACACTCAAGCTCAAGGAGGTGGGACTAAGAACCAACCCCATCAAGATGATCAACCCAGCGATAACCGACCTCAAGAATCCCAGTCACGAGAAACCCAGGAGGATAGCCAGGCCCGGGACAGCCAGATTTCAGACAGCCCGCGTCCAAGTAGCGATGTTTTGAACAACTTATCCGGGGACAGCCAACCTGAACACAACCAAACAGGATTGCCCAGGGAGAGCGAGCGATCAACTACCCGACGATCGGACGAAGTTGAGGAAGCAGAGCAGAGTCCAAATGGAGACGAGGGCGAAGGAAGGGAACAGACCGTCGACTATGGCGACCCCATACCTGGCAGAATGCCCAAAAAGGCGATTAGCCTCTAGGCTGGAGGATTGGTTGGAGGAAGTGGTTGACTTTGAGGCTTTGACTTCCCAGCGATATGATTACAGCGGAATGTTAATCAAGTAACAAACGTACGTCGTATAACAAGTAATGATGATAGGGCGTTAGGTAGAAGAAAATTCAGCGTTGATTTCATGATTGCCGGTTGGATCAGTTTTCTGACGGTGTGACATTAAATGGCTCAGTTAATCATGAGTGAAAGAGTACTTTGAGAGTTGTTTTGAATCATGTTCTAGCGTCAAGACCTAACATTATTCCTAGCAAGCCGGTCTGACTCTTCATCACTATCATCTCTGAACCCTTCTTCGAGGCTACGGCAAGTTTAGTTAGCAACAGCGCAAACAAAACATGCAAATGGAGTCATTGAACTCAAAGAAACGTCTTCACATGGTGATTCCACTCATGCGATCAAAATACTCACTCTCTACTCAATCGTCTGGTATTATCCGGCCGTGCCGGGCGAGTGTCGGCCTCCATCTGACGCCAAGTAGCGTCGTCGACGTGGCCGAGTTCCTCTCCGTCCTCGTCATCCAAACCATCCTCGGAGCCAGTATCGGACGCAAATGGAGCATTGCGATTCGAGCGCCAGGCAGAGATGCGCGAGGTTATGCGATCGCGCAGGGACAAGGTCTGCGACGAGAGGGAGTCGAGGGGGAGGTATTGACTGTAGCGGGCGTAGCGGCGCCAGAGAGGAATCAAGACGTATGTGGAAAGAAGGAATAGGATAAGCGAGACGACAGCGGGAACGGCGAGCGTCTGTTTGCGTTAGCGATCGAGTTGTCATGGTCATGATATGAGGCGCACCTTGATCACGGACGTGCTGGCGCCCATGGTTGCGTCTGCTCGCGTGGCTCTACCAAAGACAGCGCGACGGTGCAAGATAAGAATTATGCCGTCGCAAACAATTACGGCGCTTGAGATGCAAGCAGAGGGAACCTAGGTTGGAGAAAAGGGCCACGATGCCGCTCCAACGGGGGATGCTTTAGCATACGAAAGTAGAAGCCGAACGCGGCCGGACTGGAGGTCAGGTCGGGTTGGACGAGGCTACTACAGTGAAGACGTGGCGTCGGGGTCGGGTTGTTCATCATGCACAAGCCACACGCCGTGACGACGCCGACGCACCCGCTAAAGGGGGGGGAGAGGCGCCTCCGGCAGTCTAAATCTACAAGGGGACCATGAGAAAGCGGGCCGTCTAGAAACGTCTGGGGGGGGAGGATGTGATGGATGGATGTGTTATTTTGAGAGACTGGAATGGAGAGTTTAAGACAAACGACCTCGCTAAAGGATAGAGAGCGGGAGGACCGGGAATCATGTCTTTTGTAAGGAAGCGAGGGAGGAGAATTTTGTATTCAATTCAGCCAGCAACTGTCCTGTCCGTCTGTGTCACATGGATTTTATTATGAGTGAATGGCTCCAGCTGCATCAGCAAATAAGAGGTGCGTTGCACAACAGCAGGCCGCCCAGCCTGTGACCAGCTGCCCAAAATAGCCAAACCATGGATTGGATTACATGAACGCTCTCAGGAGAAACTCTAGCGTAGTTACTCTGCATCTCTTTCTCGAACCCTAGCACAAATAAGATACCGGACAGCTGTGGAGGTTTTGGTCCCCTAGCCGAGTCTTGCTTTGCTTGCTTGTCTAAGCCAACTTGCATCCGTCAGACTCCACTTGAATACGGCTCACCATGATCACCGTCAGCGACGCGATCCTTGGAGTTGACCTGGCACAAGACAAGACAAAAGTGGTGGTGTCCTTTTTGCACAAGTCCTGCTGAGGGGTTCTTGGGCGTTCTTTGGGCCTCCAACTCGTCCAGGGGTTTGTTAATGGGTCCATCTCACCCGCAAACTGCCTCCATACCTTAGGTATCTTGCAACTGAAATGCAAGAGAAAACGGCCATGTTTGCGCCACAAATATCTGTCAAACCTTGGACTGCAACCCTAGAAACTGTCGATCCCAGCAATCCGGTACTCTCAAAAGTGAATGCTCTCGCCAGGTAGACATCAGGCGGCGCGTCCTCATATTCCAGTGTCCACTTCCCCTGATAGATGGCCCTGGTCCCCAATGAGAGACCCCCCCTCTTCAGCGCCCAGTCAGCGACCGCCTTCAGCGCTCCAAGCGGCGGCTAGCCAATATTCGGTCCCATCATCCCCATAAACCCATAAGCCAATCCGCATTAATCTTGGTCGTGACCCTTGAGAGCCAGACCCAGCAGATCCCTGATCATAGACGAACAAACCAAACCACAAAGACCACACCGAAACCGAACCATCCCAGTCCTTTTTACCTCTCCAGTTCTTACGTGCTACGTGCGGCATCCGCTCCTTATTGCATTGCACGCACCCGACTCGACCCACGACCCGGCAGCTTCGTTGCAGCACCACCTACTCGACTCGTCTCGTTGAGACAACACCGCTTCAGCCCGGGAGCCGCATTGTCTCGCCCTCCCTATCCCTCTCCAATCCTCCCGCAGCCCACGGCGAATCCGACTCGACATCCCACACTGCCGCGACCGATCGGGGTTTCAAAAACCACCCAAGCCCTCCACTCAACCGGCCGATTTCGATTTCGAGGTTCAACCCCTCCCACCAAAACTCGGACCTCCCATCGCCCGTCACTTCAAAAGTTGCTTTGATTGTTGCGTCCCCGCGGACTGCGACGTCGTGCCCCCCATGAAGCGAGCGGCCCTGGGCCAGCACATCGCCTTGTTCACGTGTTTCAACTGGTAGACGTCGCCGCGCTCGAATTTCGTTGCTTTCAGTCGTCCGTCGCCGTTTCTCAGATTCCCCTTCCTCCACCGTTGCGATATCGATATCGACACCGTCATCGACCGGCAACAACACGATCGCGAGTAAAGACTCCGCTTCCACCTCGGCCGCGGTCACGACCGCTCCACCGCCATGTCGTCCGCCGACAAGTCGAGGCAGTCCTCTGGCGGACGGTCCATCTTCTCCCGGAGTAAGCACAAGGACAAGCGCTACACGGAAGAGTCCAGATACCCCTCAGACGACGCCGCCAGCTTCCGGTCATCGAGGCACAGACGGGAGTCGTCGGCCGTCTCGATTGATCGCCCCGGCTCCCCGGATGGAGGCATCAACCAGATGGCCGGTGTGATAACCTCTATCCCCTACGACAGCGTGCCAAATGGCTCGCGTTCTCCGATACCCGTCGAATACCTACCCAAAGGCGAGCAGATGCCCGTGCGCCGCGAGCCTCTTCCACACCACCTAAACAAGAACGGCATGGACTTTCACCAATATCCCAGCTGGGACGGGACCAGTCAGTCTGGTGCGTACTCTCCTGGGCGTCAGCAGCAGCCTCCTTCAGGCTACAACAACAACGTTACCATGGCTTCCAAGGGGGGCCAAGCCCAATATCAACAATGGGGCCCTCCCCCGAGGGGAAGCTCAGCCAGCTCTATTAACCAACCACATACCCCCCGTTATGATTCGTACATGTCTTCCACAGCCCGGGGCTCGGCCGACAACCTCAGCGTCTTCTCAGGTACTGCAGACCATCATGATGTCAGGATATCGCGCTCACCAAATCCAGCAATGCCCAGTGCGTCCTCTCAGAGCTCCTATGCCGCCTCACACTACTCGAACCGCGACTCGCACCGAATCACCAAATTCCCATCCCCAGGTCCTGCTACCAGTCCCCTCGGGGAATCACAAGGCGGCCAATTCTACTTTCCGAAGCCAGATGACGATAACGTGGTAGAGCAGATGTTCCTCCAACTAATGCAGAAGCGAGGATGGCACAACCTGCCCGAGCAGGCCAGGAGGCAGATGATGGCATATCCAGCTCAGAAGAAGTGGACACTTCTCTATCAAGATCGACTCACCGAGTGGCAGGGCGAGCAAAAGCGCCGACAGACAGCGCGTCCAAACCAATATGCTGCCCCCGATATCACCACCTACTCGGATGAGGAGGGAACCCCCGAATGGTATGTCCGACGTGTTATGGAGGATCGACTCGACACGAAGGGCATGGGAAGTCTGGAGGTCAACCTGCGAACCCAACAAATCGGCTGGGTTAAGAGATTCGTCGAATGCCAGGGACAGGTCGCCCTGATGACCTTGCTGCTTAAGATCAACCGCAAGACAGCAACGGGGCCTGCCCAGGACAATGGCCGGATCGACAAGAACCTAGACCGCGAGTACGACATTATCAAGTGTGTCAAGGCGCTCATGAACAACAAGTTTGGAGCCGACGATGCCTTGGTTCACCAGAAAGTCATAGTCGCCCTCGCCACCTCGCTCATTTCTCCTCGTCTCACCACCCGAAAACTGGTCAGCGAAATCATCACTTTCCTATGTACCTGGGGAGAGAATGCCGAAGGCCACCTCAAGGTGATTCAGGCCCTGGACGAAGTCAAGTCACAGGCTGGAGAAAATGGTCGGTTCGACGCCTGGATGCGCTTGGTGGAGGTTACTATCGATGGCCGCGGCAAGATGGGTAGCTTGGTCGGTGCGAGCGAAGAACTGAGGACTGGCGGTATCGGCATGGAGAACCTGCTCATGGAATATGCCGTTGCGACTCTCATGCTCGTCAACATGATTATCGACTCTCCGGAGAAGGATTTGGAGTTGAGGATCCATATCCGGGCTCAGTTTACGGCAACCGGTATCAAGCGCATCTTGACCAAGATGGAGGGTTTCCAATATGACCTCCTGGACAAGCAGATCGAGCGCTTCCGGACAAACGAAGCCATTGACTATGAGGATATGCTCGAGCGAGAGAACAGCAGCATGAAGGACAATGTTGAGGCTGAAGTCAAGGATCTGACAGATCCCGCTCAGATCGTCGATGCTATCCAGCAGCGTCTCTACGGCACCAAGACACAAGATTACTTTGTCTCGGCTCTTCAGCATCTGCTTCTCATTCGCTCTAATGATGGCGAAGAGCGTCTACGCATGTTCCAGCTAGTTGATTCCATGCTGAGCTACGTTGCCATGGATCGGCGGTTGCCCAACATGGACCTGAAGCAGAGTCTGAACTTTACTGTCCAGAGTCTGCTCGACAAGTTGCATACAGACTCGGAGGCCAGACAAGCACAGGATGAAGCTCTTGAATCGCGGCAGATTGCCGAGGCCGCTATGGCCGAGCGTGATGAGATGAAGGCCAGGCTCGAGTTGGGAGCCGATGGACTTGTTGCCAAGCTGCAAAGGCAATTGGAGGAGCAGTCTCGATTTATTGATGCTCAAAAGCGACAGGCGGACGGACTCAAGGCTGAGATGGATAGCATGCAAACTATGCGAACCAAGGAAGCCCAGCGTTACGAGTTAGAAACGAGAGAATTATATCTCATGCTTCGAGACGCGCAGGATATCGCTGCTTCCAAGTCGGTCAAGCCCACTGCCAGCGCCAAATCTGCGACTGGTGCCCCTGGAGCGATTGGTGAGGTCGACGCTTCTCGCATGCAAGGGATTCTGGACCGTGATCGCCTCATGGAGCGGCTTCAGATGCAGATTGAGCGTCAGAAGACGCAGTACAAGCTTGAAGGCCGTGTCTGGGGAGACGCTGTCGGGCCTTCAGACCGACTTCGAGCCCTCCGTGAAGAGATGGACGGCAGACCTTCGACGCCCCCTGGTGGTGGAACGCCACCCAGGGACTTTACCAACAGTGTTTTGGGTAGCATTCGCCGTAACACCAAGATCCCTCGCAAGCCTATTAGGAGATCGGATGGCGAGGTTATCGATGAGGGTGATGAGACCGAGGGCGAGGATGGTGTTGTCTTTGAGAAGCCCAGGATTATTGAGATGAAGCGGCCGACTATTGACCCCAGGCAACAGGCTGGTCTCCTTGGTGAGATTGGCTCCAAGGTCAAGAAGTACGATGCCAGCGATTCTGAGGATGACAACACTGCTACTGGCCCCTCTCACCCAAGCATGGAGACCTCATCCCCTATTACGCCTCCCGAGGGCGATGCTCCGAAGATCCAAGTTACGGGTGCTGGCCCCCCTCCGCCTCCGCCGCCGCCTCCCCCACCCATGCCCGGCCAAATACCCGGAGCACCACCACCTCCTCCACCTCCTCCGCCTCCGCCCATGCCGGGTCAGATGCCGGGAGCTCCTCCACCACCTCCGCCGCCACCTCCCCCTCCACTACCGGGCATGCTATCACCAACGTCAGCCGCTGGACCTCCTCCGCCCCCTCCTCCTCCCCCAATGCCTGGCGCCCCAGGTATGCCACCACCTCCGCCTCCCCCGATGCCTGGTGGTGCCATGTCTGGACACTTCTTGTCGAGGCAGCCCGCATTTGCGCCCGCTCCCGGCATTGGCCTGCCCGTTGTTCGTCCCAAGAAGAAGCTCAAGGCTCTGCATTGGGACAAGGTCGACGCCCCCGAGACCAGTCACTGGGCAGCCCACACCCCCTCTGCTGAGGCCCGAGAGGAGAAGTACCAGGAGCTCAGCAAGAAGGGTATTCTGGACGAGGTTGAAAAGTTGTTCTTGGCCAAGGAGATCAAGAAGATTGGCATTGGAAGCGGCTCTAAGAAGGATGATAAGAAGCAAATCATTTCTTCTGATCTTCGAAAGGCTTATGGTGAGTGCCTTACTTATATGTGTTTGATTCGAATACTGACGAGATGTAGAAATTGCCTTTGCCAAGTTTTCTCAGCATTCTGTAGAAAAGGTCGTACAGATGATCATCCACTGCGACACGGAGATTCTAGACAACCCTGTGGTGATGGACTTTTTGCAAAAGGACGACTTGTGCAACATCCCCGACAACACATCCAAGCAAATGGCGCCGTACAGCAAGGACTGGACAGGTCCCGAAGCCAAGAGCCAGACCCGCGAGCAAGATCCTGCAGAGCTCACACGCCAAGATCAGCTGTACCTTTACACTGCATTTGAGCTACATCATTACTGGAAGAGCCGAATGAGGGCTCTTGCTCTTACTAGAAGCTTTGAGCAAGAGTACGACGAGATCAACGAGAAGGTCAGACAAGTTGTCACGGTTTCAGAGTCACTCCGTGATTCCGTTTCTCTCATGAACGTTCTTGGTCTCATTTTGGATATCGGTAACTACATGAACGACGCCAACAAGCAGGCCCGCGGTTTCAAGCTGAGCTCACTGGCCAGACTGGGCATGGTCAAGGATGATAAGAACCAGTCGACACTGGCAGATCTGGTGGAGCGCATTGTGCGAAACCAGTATCCCGAGTGGGAGGGCTTCGCCGATGATATCAACGGTGTCATGACAGTACAGAAGATCAACATCGAGCAGCTTCAGTCGGATTGCAAGAGGTACATTGACAACATTCGAAACATCCAGATGTCACTAGACAGCGGCAACCTGAGCGATCCCAAGAAGTTCCACCCCGAGGACCGAGTCAGCCAAGTCGTCCAGCGAATTATGAAGGATGCCAGGAGGAAGGCTGAGCAGATGGAGCTGTACCTGGAGGAGATGATGAAGACATACAAGGACATCATGGTGTTTTACGGCGAAGACCCTGCTGATGATGGTGCACGGAGAGACTTCTTTGCCAAGCTGGCATTGTTCGTGGGCGAATGGAAGAAGTCACGAGAGAAGAACGTCCAGATGGAGGAGACGAGGAAGCGCAACGAGGCTTCGATGAAGCGGAAGCACGCTCAACTCAAGATCAACAATACGGGCACCGAGGGCGGCCCAGTATCACCGTCCAACACGGGCGCCATGGACTCGCTGTTGGAGAAGCTGCGTGCAGCCGCGCCCCAGACTCGGGATCAGAGAGACCGAAGACGGCGAGCACGACTCAAGGACAGGCACCAAGTTCGGGTCGCATCAGGGCAAAAGATACCAGATCTCAACGAGATACCCGAGGCGGAGGCTGTTCTGAAGAACAAGGAGCCTGCTATCGACGAGGATGGATCTACGCTCAGCCCTGGCGTATCATCACCTCGTGAGGGTGGAGATGATGTTGCGGACCGAGCTGCGGCTCTGCTCCAAGGCATGCGTGGTGGAGACGGGGCAGACGAGAACGACCCTGAGAGGAGAGAAAGTCTTCGAAAGGCGAGAAGGCAAACAGCTGAAGAAGAGAGGAGGTTAAGAAGGAGACGGAGAGAGAAGATGAATGCAAGTCATGCGGATGATCTCAAGGAAGATCCCAAGGAAGAGTCCAAAGAGGAACCACCAAAGGAAGAACCAAAGGAGGAAATCAAGGAGGAACCAAAGGCAGAAGCCAAGGAAGAGGTTAAAGAGGAGGCCAAGCCGGAACAAGTGCCCGTCGAGGATGACCTACCGACACCTACAGCGGCAACGGCCAGCGAAGCCCAAGCCCCGGCTGAGGAAGGGGAAAAGGCATGACACGGGAAAGGAGAGGACGAGAAGGGAGTTGCTTGAATCGAGATGCATATCATGGTGTCGGAACCTGTTTCTCGGGAGGGGAGGGACCGCGATGGTATGTATTGCACGCGCTATACGTAATGTCTACACTAGTACATACAGCGGAAGATTTGTTTCAAGACAGTTTGAAAGCTTTTAAAGTCATGATGTGATGTCTTGTCTGTTCGTGATGTTGAGGCTGATGGTTTCTTTTAGGGTCGTCATTGATAAAAAAGAATATCTCGTGTTCTCATGATCTCGAGACTGAGATGGCACTCGTTGTGTCACTGAAGGCTTACATACAGAGTAGCCTTATTTTCAACATTGACAGTTATGCTTGAATTATTGCTATGTCCTCCCAACGCCAATCTGAGGATGCAGTCTCGTACGCTCAACACCACACAACGGATATCATAAAATTCATAATGACCCCCAAAAAAACATCCTTTTTCCTTTCCTCATCGCCCAGGACTCAGCGGTCGGTTGAATCCACCCTGTCGATTCATATACTGCCGATACTCTGTCTTTTTCTCCTTGCTCACACCTCCAGCATTGTTACCCGCCACCTTTTTGTTCTTTGTAGTTCCGAACCCTCCAAAGCCCATCATGGCCTGCATGGCTGCCATTTCGTCGTCTTCGGCGTCCATCTCGTCTCCCTCGGGGGCGTCGTCACGGCGCGGAGGGGATTTGTTGGAGACGTTGAAGGACATGTTGGGGGGTTGTTGTTCGCGCTTGTTGTCGGGGCGGGTGCGGGTTGGGAGGGATGTTGTGTCGTGGGAGGGACTGCGGGTACTTGGGGATGCGGAGCGACGAGGTTTGGCTGGACATGTTAGTTGAATGTATTTTTGAGTCAAGGGGAGTTGCATACCTCTTCGATCGCCATCATCATCACGACGATACCGAGGTCCATCATCATCATCTCTCCGTTGGTCTCGCCTATCGTCATGATATCGCGGGCCTCTGTTCCTCGGCCGGTTCCTATCACCGTCGCGATCTCTGTGCCTTCTATCCGGAGACCTCGAGCGGTCCCTGTATCCACCACGCCTCTCCCGCGATCGATCCCTATATCCTCTCCTGTCACGGTCGTTGTTGTCCCTGTCTCGATCTCGTGGGCCTCCACGCCTGTCGCGACGGTCGGATTCATCCCACATCTGACGGCTGTCTGGCCGACGGTTTCTTCGGGAGTCGCCCATGTTGTATATGTGTTGCTTTTATTTGGATTTACGAGGTTCTTGTGTGAATGTTGTGAAGATAGAGTCGTCAAGATGAGGAGTGCAAAGTTGAAGGCATCAATCTGGGGGAGGCTGAGAAGAAACCATCAAGAGTGGAGTCACACATGGGGCTGGCTAAACAGTGGCGGTGGCTGGTGACTATCTTTCATTGGCCAGAGCTCTCCACCGCCAAGACCGACCTTCAGCCTTGCGTCGTCATATCAAACCCCAGCTCAAACGTGTTCTCTAGAGGCTCTCATGTCAAGCGCACCGGATGCCGCAGCACAATCTCTTTTAGCGTCATTTACGTTGATTTTCTGCTCAGGATTCAATCTCTGATATTCGATAAATAAGAGTTTCACCCTCCATCATGGTGAGAATAGCCCAATGGGTGTCGGCGGCACTCGTCTTGGGCGCCTCAGCCACCGATGAGGCCTCGTCGGTGCTCACCACAGAGATTGGCCGTCAAAACAACCAGAGTCTCTTCTGGGGCCCTTACAAGTCCAACCTCTACTTTGGCGTGCGACCCAGGACGCCAGATGCGTTGTGGACGGGCCTCATGTGGGGGAAGGTTGACGACTTTAGGGATATTCAGAACGGTATGCGGGAGCGGGCCGTTGTTGGAGTTTCATGACTAATTTTGAGATCATAGGATTCCGGTATACCTGTGAGCAAGGGGAGGATATTCATGGCTACGGGTGGGATGAGTATGATGCTCGCATTGGAGGCGTGCAGTCTATTCATGATGAGGGCAACAAGATTGATCTCACCACAACCTTTGTCAAGATCCCGGGTGGTAACCACGGAGGCAGCTGGGCTGCTAGGATCAAGGGCGAGTTGAGGGCTGATGCTCCCAAGAACACCAAGACCATGCTATTCTACTACATTGCCCAGGACGGAGAGGGCGAGCTCGAGGCCGAGGGCGAGGGTGACGAGTTTGGATTTGACGGAGACGTCAACTTCAAGGGCAACTCCAAGACGCTAGGTGACTACAAGCTCCTGGTCACAAAGGGCAAGGGAAAGCACCCTAAGAAAGGCCACAAGCTACTTGAGGACAGACACGGAGACACGACTCTCGTCATGAGCTCTGATGCCACCCCTGAGATTAGCTGGCAGGGCAAGGCGGTTGTGTTCAAGCACCTCCAAGACGCCGTCAAACCTGTCCAGGAGAACGCGGACCAGGCTGATCCTCCTCCCCCATGGCAAGTCTACCGTATCGAGCACAAGCCAGGCAAGGGCAACGTGCAGATTGTCCAAAAGACGTTTGAGGGTCCTTTTGAGTTCGACGTCATTTTTTCATCCGGCTCTTCTGGGGAGGAGTACACCTCTGCCGACGTCACCGAGCAGATCACAAAGGTCTCCGAGACCTTCAAGGAGCGATTCGCGAGGACCTTTGAGCTCAAGGCGCCCTTCAAGAGTGAAAAGTACCGCAAGTTTGGCAAAAGCATGTTCTCCAACCTCGTTGGCGGTATTGGATACTTCCACGGCCACCAGATCATCGACCGATCCTATGCGTCTGAATACGAGGAGGAGAATGAAGGATTCTGGGAGGAGGCTGCCGAGGCCATGGCGCGTAAGAAGCAGGACCTCGAAGGCCCATACGAGCTCTTCACCAGCGTCCCATCTCGCCCATTCTTCCCCCGCGGCTTCCTATGGGACGAGGGTTTCCATCTCATCCCAATCGCCGACTGGGATATAGATCTCACCCTTGAGATTGTCAAGAGCTGGTACAACACCATGGACGACGACGGCTGGATCGCTCGTGAGCAGATCCTTGGACACGAGGCCCGTAGCAAGGTCCCGGCTGAGTTCCAGGTCCAGTATCCCCACTATGCCAACCCTCCGACGCTGTTCCTCATCATTGAGGGCTTCATGGAGCGCCTTCGCGCGGCCAATGGCACTCAGCCTGCCGAGAAGGAGCAGATTACTACTGCCGACCCCCTGCAGACGGCCCATCTCGACAACCTTGAGATTGGTGAGAGCTACCTGCGAAAGTTGTATCCTCTCCTCCGACGCCAGTATGACTGGTTCCGCAAGACGCAGCGCGGTGATATCAAAAGCTACGACCGTGAGGCGTACTCAACCAAGGAGGCATACCGTTGGAGGGGCCGCACCGAGGCACACATCCTTACCAGCGGCCTGGATGACTACCCGCGGGCCCAGCCTCCTCACCCGGGCGAGCTCCATGTCGATCTCATGTCCTGGGTCGGCCTCATGACAAAGTCCTTGATGAGCATTGCCGACGCCCTCGGCATGGCTGAGGATGTGGACGAGTACAGGAAGAACCTGGTAGCCATTGAGCACAACCTCAATGATCTTCACTGGTCTGAAGAGCAGGGCTGCTATTGCGATGCGACGATCGACGAATACGAGGAGCACACCCTCGTATGCCACAAGGGATACATTTCCCTGTTCCCCTTCCTCGTCGGCTTGATGAAGCCGGACGACCCCAAGCTCGGCAAGATACTAGATCTTATTGGTGATGAGGAGCACCTCTTCAGCCCCCACGGAATCCGCAGTCTGAGCAAGCAGGACGAGCTCTACGGCACCAAGGAGAACTACTGGCGCAGCCCCGTGTGGATGCCCATCAACTATCTCGCCGTGTCTCAGCTACGCGTAAGCATTCCTCCCGCCGTAACGTACCATCTAATACAGTTTACTAATCTCGATTTTGCTTGCTAGAACGTTGCCACGCAGGAAGGGCCCTACAGGGCCAAGGCCAAGGATCTCTTCTCGCGGCTGCGTAAGAACCTTGTCGACACGGTGTACAAGAGCTGGGAGGAGACGGGCTTCGCGTGGGAGCAGTACAACCCGGACACGGGGGCCGGGCAGCGGACGCAGCATTTCACCGGATGGACCAGCCTAGTGGTCAAGATCATGGCTATGGAGGACCCCAGTGACGAGGGAGCCGCCCCTGTGAGGGACGAGCTGTGAGACCTGGGGAGGCGTGAACGTGGCCGTGTAAGGCTGACAGTGGCACCCCTTGGGAACGGGGTGCGTATATGGTAGACGATAGATGTCAAAGCCAAGACGACGAGTGCTGATTAGCCACAAGGCACAGCATCAAACATTCCAGCGGCGGGTCGCTCCGCATCCCTGAACCATGTGACATGCTGGGGGCTTTTGGATGTGATGGAAATAAGCTGCCCGTTTAGGCAATTTCAGAGGTACTCGGCAGTTGTGCATGTCTCACTTGAGATGAGATGCGTGTGTGGCATCCCACTCCCTCTAGCATCCTACGCAGATCGATGCTCTGATGGTTGCAGATCGGCGACTCTGATCTCGCCGACGTCCTTGATCGACAGGCTGTCAAGAGTCCTTGGGTCGAGGCTCCAAGGACTGTTAGTGGAACTCTGTTGAAAAAGGCCCGAGTTGTTGATGATGGGGATCAAACGTCAGCGGCATCATATCAACGGGGAAAACGGCTCTGATGATGATGATGAGTGAGGACAAGAATATCATGTATGCATGTCATGCAGGTACTTTGAACTTGACGATTCCAGCTCCGGGTCTGGAACGGTCGGCCGGTGGAGAGACATGTAATGTAAGCCTGCGAATTCGACCGTTCCTGGAAACTCTGCCGAAGCTAAAGGGATCTTCAGAAAAGAAAGAGGTTCAGTTCCTGAGAACGTTGTAGATGGTGGGCGTCAAAGGTGCGTTAGTGGGTGCTGCTATTCTCGACCTCGAGGGGGCGGCTGATTGGCGCAAGCGAAAAAACATTCCAAACGGGTTTCCGCTCGGGGGATGCTAGCCGGCGCTGGGAATCCTTCCCGGGACAAGGGGCTTGCTTCGTTTAGTCGAAAGCCAAGCGAAACCAACATCAGACGCCGCGGCCGAAGGTAGACAGACGCCAGAGTCAAAAGATCTGGCGTGTCTCAGAGGCAGCCCGGCTGACAGGAGAGCGAGGGTTCGCGGGTGGTACGGGGGGCGTGTGCCAGGGTCGCAAGGCTGACTTGGGAAGAACGCCTCGTGGTTCGTGACGGGGTACTTGGCGTTGAAAGGGGAAAAGTTGGTTGAAACAATCTTGCCCATCTGTTTGGTTGAAGCATCTTTGGGGAGGGGCTGTGCAAAAAGCCAGGGCTTGTGGGGTCCTGTCATCAATGTCAGGTAGGCGCGCTTGTCGGCCAATGACAGTCCAACCGTCTATTTTTAAGGCGCTTAGCCATGTGCTAGCGACGAAACGGGTCATTTCCTTGTGTTTCTTTGCGAGGTTTGTGGCTGGGCGGCGCATGGGGCATTGTGCGAGTGCTGGAATGCCTTGAACTGATGATTTTTTTGTGAAGAAGGACAGAATGAAGTTGTGATTGGAATTGTACACTTTTTCTCGTAAATGCACGAGTACGTATTTTTGCAAGCAGTTGCTGCCTGAGACATGGCACCATGATTTGTTCTCTTGGCGGTTTGACTCTCAACAGCCGCGAAGCATGCGGCCCCCCTTCGGTGACCCGGCCAATTACAGGCGGTACCATAGATCTCGGTCAGCATCGACCAAACCCCGGTCAGGATAATCGGGATAAAGGGCGGGAGGTGAGAACATCCGGGCAGGACATGGATGGCTTGGACACTAAGGGGGCGGCCCATGGCACCGGGAGGCCCGTGATGACTGGTTTGGGTCCCCGAGATAGAGATGCCACACGGAAAGATGAAGAGCCGGATCCAATGGTGGCATCAGACTCGGCCGAGAGTTCTTGGGCTTGCTTGCCATGGATGCCGAGAAAGGACACGAACGAACTGCGGAAAGATGACTAGACTGGATTGTCACCAGCAAAAGTGACGTTTCATTATAGTAACCCCCCGCGGATTGATTGCCTTGCCTCGTAATCAGAGACAAAAGGTACCAAGACATTATCTACTGCGGCTGACTGTTCTTGACGTTTCGTTTTTGCGAGCCGGGATGACTCACCTGGCCAAATAAATTGTGGATGATATCCGAAAATGAGAAATATGCAAGTCAAGGAACCGCCGTATTATGACTCGGCGATCATGTCAAACATCCAAAGTGGAAATCCGGGGGGCAGACTTTCGGGTATCCAAAAAGGCGGGAATCCGTTTCGGTGGATCACGGGCTTGGCCGATGCAATGCACGCCAAACGGTCAGAGAGAATGTTACTCATCTTCTCACGGTCGTCATGGGCCTTTGATTTCAGGCTACAGTGTTGAGTCTCATTTGACGAATAGGAACTCATAGGAACATTTGTTTCGTTTAATTTCTTTGCTTTTCTTTTATTGTTGGAAATACACGAAAATCCAAGACATTTTAGAATACGACCTTGATTTGAAAACACGAATGGCGCTCGGTTATACCTAAATTGACAAGACGTTCTAAATTCCAAATCGGCCGCGCGCTCGCTCGCCTTGAAAAAGAAGAAGGAGGTTTACAAATGTTAGATATCACATGCCCCCCAATTCGACTTGATGACGTCGTCTTTGAAATGGAGTGAAGCACTGCGTAATGTGCGACGGAACCCAATTCCAGATTGCTGGGACGTTACAATACATGGGTCATGATAAGTGTGTGTGTGTTGCCGTTTAGGGAGAAATCGAGCGCAGAATTGACATGGGGAGTCGTATTGTTTCGCGTATACTCGTCCGTGATACGGCCGTCAATCATGATCCTTTACTTCTTCCTCTCATCTATTCCCCCGGCGGCTTGAAGCCTGCTCCGTGAGGTACAAGGATCAGGGGCTAATTTGAGGCTGTGGCTGATGGGGATGGCATTGTCCCTGCCACGCCTCCCGTAAGCAGGCAACTACTCTATCATTACACACCCGGCAACGGTCCCCCGTCGGGTGGCTGAACCGACACACCCTCCAAAAGGCTGACTCGGAAGGGGGTAACATTTGATCTCCCGAGTCTTGTTCCTCAGCCCTACGACGGTTTCTGACCACTCACGGCTCCGAGGCGACCCCTGTCAGCATCGCCGACATGGCGCAGCTAGGGGTCCTTGCTCTCTTGTTTCTCTCTCGTTCACTCTCTTGATGACCGCTTCCGTCAGAAATGGGCAGGGGGGGAACTTTGTTGCTTAGTTTGGAAGCCCGTAGTGGAGAATTTCCGTCTTCCGTGCGTTGATCGCCGGCCGGTGAGAGTGTGTGGGCGGCGCATTTGCCTAGGGGAAGGGAAAGAGTTGAAGGACACACGATTAGGCGTCAGCCGCTTTCCATGGTCTTGGGATGGAACCGCAGCAGCAGCAGTAGCATGCGATGTATACCCAGTACATATGACGACGCCTCTTTTTTTCGTAGAGGACCATTTCTATATAACCTCGTCGTCTCCTCCAGAGTTTGTTGTTCGAAATCATCATCATCTACAGCTTCAATCATCCACTTACTTACACACAATAAACTTAATACCACACTCACCACTACAACAACTACATTCACAACAACCACAACAACCACACTCACAACTACAACACTCACAATAACCATCCAACTCCTCATCCTAAACAACCTCACAACAAATACAATGGCTGCCTTCACTCTCACCTTTGCTCCCACAACCCTCTCCTTCGGCCGATCCGGCTACAACAAGGACGGTGACGACGACTCCAACGGACGCAGCGGCCGATCCGGCTACAACGGTCCTCAGGGCGCCGACTTTGGCCGCTCTGGCTACAACGGCCCCAGCGACGACGACTCGGAGGGCAACAAGGGTCGCTCGGGTTACAACGGTCCCAATGACGACGACGAGTAATCCTTGTTCCCTCTCTATTTCAACTCTCTATACAAAGAAAGACAAGCGCAAGCATTCGCATAGACGGGCGTTCAAACTGAAGCATTTTCAACCAAAGCATTGGGACGGAGTTTTCAGGCATCTTTCTGCCTTCTTTTTTTTCCATGGCATCATAATTCTGGATAAAGCATAGCGAAGGATTCATTTGGGCAAGGCAAGACAAAGACGGAATCTCAAAGCATGGCGCAGCATTACATCGGGCGGAAAGCGAAAAAACTAGCATCTCTCCTTCATCCTTGCTTTTTCTTTTCTCTCTACTTCATTCCCTTTTTCGATTCTTGCTATGGCGATTGGATAAACCCTGGTGGTCTCGGTTCGCTCCTTTTTTTAGACATTAGCATTTTGTCTCGTTCTCTTCATCAAATCTGCATAGGGCGGCGTTTTTTTTTTTCTTATTAGATCGGGAGATATAGAATTTTTGTCTTTAAGATAGAGCAACATTGTTCACATTTTTATCAACTTCCTTGTTCCTGGCCAGCTTCCTTCGCTCATTTACCAACACAGAACCTAGCAGAGTCACGAGTCAGCATCCTCATCTCCTATAATCATGCAAACATAGCCTCCTCCTCGTCAGAACTTACTTCTCGAAAATAACCCCAAGCACATCCTCCACGTCCCCGAATTCCCCGCGTCCCGTGATTCGGGCAAGGCAGTCCGCGGCGTACCGGAGGTACTCGGCCGCGAGCACCGTGTCCGCATCCATGCCCTCCTCCTCCGGTGTGGCCTCGGCCATGAAGTCTTGCAGGTGACCCCGGCACTTGACCAGGAGCTGCCGCTGCCGCTCCGTGACCCCCAGCAGATCCTGGAGATCGACGGGCATGGATGTCATCTTCTCAAAGGACCCCACGAGCTGGTCCATCACCGCTTGGACGCCGCCTGGGTCCTTGCTCTCCGATCCCAACGTCTGAGCCTCCTTACACGAGATGGACACGAGCTCAGCCGCCGCTAGCTTGGGGGCCTTTTCAGAGACGGTCCGACGGAATTCCTCGACGAGCTTCTCAAACTGCCCAGCGTCAACTGCGTCACGCTTGTTGACCACAATAAGACAATCTTCGGCCCCCGCAGCCAGGTCCAGAGTTTCCTCATCGTACTGCAGAAATGATCCTCCAGGACCATCTTCAACCGACGCCAGCACGATGACCAGGTCTGAATCCATGGCCTTTTGCTTCGCTCGCCGGATTCCCTCCTCTTCCACGGCCCCAATTGCGCCACCACCATCCCCGTTGATCGTCCCAGAACCGTTGGAGCGAAATCCTGCCGTGTCCGCAAACGAACATAAATAGCCACGGATGTCCAGGCTGGCCTCAATGATGTCCCGGGTCGTGCCAGCCTCCCCGGACACGATGGATGCCTCCCGTCCGACAATGAGGTTCATGAGGGACGACTTTCCGACATTGGGCGGCCCCAGCAGCGCGATTCGGATCCCATTCCTGAGGAGCTCGCTCCGCTGGCTTCCCTGCTCATGTAGCTCGATACTGTGTAGCATCCTTGCGACCTGAGTCGTTACATTGTGCAGCAAGTCTGCCTGAGACTCATCAAAGTGCTGATCCTCGGAAAAGTCGATCAGCGCCTCAATCTCCCCTCGTGCGAGCAGCAGCTGTTCCCTCCACGCCTCGTATTGGCGACCCAGAGCTCCCGAGTTGCCGCGTACAGCCGCACGGCGCTGCTGCTCCGTCTCTGCGGCGAGCGTGTCGCTCAGGGATTCGATCTGAGCAAGGTCGAGCCGGTCGTTGAAAAAGGCGCGCTTGGTGAACTCGCCAGGCTCGGCGTATCGGATACGCTGGGCTGTGGAGCATCGTGGGATCGCGGATAGCACTGCCTTGACGGTAGCCGCTCCGCCATGGACATGTAGTTCTAGGACATCTTCGCCCGTTACCGTCTTTGGGCTGGGGAAGTAAAGGATGAGGGCTTCCGAGTCTAGGACGATGGGTCCGTCTCTAGCAGGCTGTGGGTCATAAAGAGATCTCACAGTTGCATACCTTGGCTTTGGTAGCGGTTTTGACGGACAGAGCTCCTTGTAAATCTAGATGTTCGAGTTAGCACGGCTATTAGAGCGGTGTTGACGACGGCTTACTTCAAGACATGATGGGCCTGATATGCGAATCACAGCAATGCCAGCTCGGCCCTGAGCGGTCGACAGGGCATATATGGTGTCATCTACATCTGGGAGTCTAGCAGTATCATCGTATTGATGAGTATGCCATGAGTGCTGTGAGAAGGGTCTCGAAAGCCTGAGGCTGGGCCAACTTTTTGGTGATAATAAGGTGGGATGAAATCGGTAGCTTGTGGCTGGAACTGAGAATCGGGAGGCTGTCGGGGCGCAATTGAGTCTCCTCAGACGGAGACTGCGCCTGAGCATGAGCGAGAATGAAATCTAGGAGATTAAATGAGTAATCAGAGTATTAAAACGAAGCAAGACATTGGCTGCTGAGATGGTTACTGTTGATGAGGATGATAAATCTTGAGGTGTTTTGCGGGACGGAGCTCACCCAACTTTTCACAGTGCACGAGACCTGAGGTCAAGACGTTAGAGCGGCCCAGCCCGCCGCAGCACCGCTACGCATCATGTCGAAGCCCTCAAGCTCTCACCCCCAAACCAGAGTTTATAGCACGAAAATTATGTGTTAAAATTTTAATTTGATTTAATAATTGTATCCTATGCCTGATAAATGTGCTAAATATGTTGAATTTAGCACCCGTTTTGGGTTGACTACCTTTTCCTTCATCCTCGTTTCACAACTCTCTCACCTACCCTACTTCATTCACCTATTCCAATACCACCACTCAAGAAGAAGCAAAAGTCTCGATAAACTTGGCAAGCTTCTCAGCACCCTCCAAGGGAATCGAGTTGTAGTTGCTGGCACGAATACCGCCGACGCTGCGGTGACCCTTGAGACCAGTCAGGCCCAGGCTGGTGGCCTCCTTCAGGAAGGTCTTCTCAGTCGCATCAGTGTCGCCGTTCTTAGTGACGCGGAAGCAGATGTTCATCCTTGAGCGGACAGACTTGTCGGGGACAATTCTGTACACGTCGGGGTGGGCCTCGAGTGCGGCATAGATGAGGTCGGACTTCTTGACGGCCACGGCCTCCTGGCCGTCAACCTTGTTGGAATAAGTGCGTAGCAGCTTCTTGAGAACCTGGCCAGCAATGTAGACACTAAATCCAAGTCAGCTAAACAATTAGCTCAGTTTTTACCGAATACTCACTCAAAGATGCTGAGTGTGTTGTAGAGACTGTTGTTCTTGGCAATAGTCTCGTACTGGAAGATGATGGGAGGAATAGGAAGACCAAGTTTCCTGAGAAGAGGAGCGGAAGGCTGAGAAGTCTGGGGAGGGAGGAGGCTCTTCTTGATGATGACAACAGTGACACCAGTGCAGCCGAGGTTCTTCTGGGCTCCGAAGAAGATGACGGAGTAGTTCTTGACAGGAATTCGTCGAGAGAGGATGTTGGAAGACATGTCGGCCACCACGATAGGGCCATTACCATCAGGTCCGGGAGTCAGAGACTTGGGGAAGGCAGGGAACTCGACACCATCCACAGTCTCGTTGTCGCAGTAGTAGACCAGAGCAGCATCCTTGGAGAGGCTCCAGGTGCTCTCCTCAGGGATCTTGCCATACTTGCCATCGTTGACCTTGCGAGCATCGGCAACAATGTTGACGTGCTCAGGACCAAGAAGTCGCTTGGCCTCCTCGGAAGCCTTCTGCGACCAGCCACCAGTGACGATGTAATCCACCTTGAGCTCCTTGTCGACGGCATTTCGGAGCTCCTGCTCCACAAGAGGGTCGTCCTCGGGCTTGTTGACGGAGGCGACGATCTGGGCCTTCTTCTTGGTCACCCACGCACCAACAAGGTTGTACATGGTGGCCGAGAACTCTCCGGTACCGCCACCCTGCATGAAGAGAACTTCATAGTCCTCGGGAATGTCGAGGTAGGAGGCAAGGTCTGCCTTGGCCTCGTTGAGGATGTTGGTCGCCAGCTCAGAACGATGAGAATGTTCTGCAATGCCCAATCCTGTCCCGTTATACGACAGAAGGGCCTCTGCGGCAGTCTCAAGCACATCAGTAGGCAGAAGCGCAGGGCCTGCGCCAAAGTATGTGATTTCAGATCTGGAAGGCATTGTTGGTTGGTTTCAGAAGAAGCGTGGATGAATTGGGTACGTGAAGAAGAGAAAGCGGAAAAGATGGAGTTTTGGACAAAGTCAAGGTCACCAAAAGGTACAGTGAGTCATCCAATAGGAAAAGACCTCACGGGAGAAGCTCAACGGGTGACTCTAAGCGGTTAATCGAGTGATATCAAAGGTTGCGAAAAGAGGAGTGAGGCCACGCCAAGATTTTCACTTTGGAATCTTTCCTTCTGTCTCTTACACTGCGCAATTATTAGTCAAGGGAGAAATGCCGTTGGTAAACTGCAGTCTTTATTCGCTGGGCCTCTGCCGGTTCAATTGACTCCGCACCAGGGGCGTCGAGAGCGTGGGATGTCCCAAGGCCGGCCTCGGAGGCACTTTGGGGGGGTTTTAACCAAGCAATCAGAGCCATTTATATTGACATGATTTTTATACAAGAGGATGGGTTGTGAGGGGTCTTGGAGCTAGAGCAAGCAAAAGCCTGTGCTTTGACATGGGGTTTGACGTTGCAGGGCTGTTTGATGGGGGGTTTGCTGTAGTAGCCAAGGCAGGGCAAGGAAAAGGATAGACACGCATTGGACCACGGTTCTATATGTGACAACAGAAGGCCTAAACTAACAGAAATGGCCATCAGCCAGTAAGTGAATGCTTTAGTCCAATTCTTGTCGCATTGGATGCTTTGCAACGGAGAAAAAAGCATCTCCATGTCATCATGGAAGCTCCCAAATCAGGAAGGCGGTGTGTCGGCGTATCCACGGCAGAAAGGGAGGCTGCAGGTCCCAGCGCAACCAGGCGACGAAGCTTGAGCTGCCTGGTGCTTGACGCTTGACCACCTCAACTCCATCCCGACCTCCAGTAACAACCCCATAAACCTACGCCCAAACGAAGCTCTACATCTTCCATCACCAACGCCCGTGTATCCGACTACCGACCCCAGATCCCTCGCGACGCTGCTCGAGCAGCTGATCCTTCACCATGTTCAGAAACAACTACGACAACGACTCGGTTACCTTGTACGTCACCTAAGCTCGTCGTTAGCTTCACCCGGTATCTCCAACAAGCTGACCTTCCCAAGCTCGCCCCAGGGCCGAATATTCCAGATCGAGTATGCTGCCGAGGCAGTCAAGCAAGGTTCAGTCGTCGTCGGAATCGCCAGCAAGACCCATGCAGTGCTCTGCGCCGTCAAGGTACATCCATCTCCTCCTGCGCCCGCATCACGTCAACCAGCAGCCTGTATCTAACCTTGCCCCCACAGCGCAACGCCGAGGAGCTCTCATCGTACCAGAAGAAGCTCTTTACCATTGACGAACACGCCGGTATCGCCATCGCTGGCCTCACCTCTGACGCCCGCGTCCTCTCCAACTTTATGAAGCAGCAGTGCCTAGGCCACCGACTCACCTACGGCCGCGCCATCCCTCTCCGCTCCCTCGTCGACATGATTGGTGAGAAGGCCCAGATGAACACCCAGATGTACGGAAAGCGACCGTACGGCGTCGGCCTGCTCGTCGCCGGCGTTGACGAGCGCGGACCCCACCTGTTCGAGTTCCAGCCCTCGGGCATGACAGAGGAGATGCTCGCTTTTGCCATTGGCGCGCGCAGCCAGATGGCCCGGACATACCTGGAGCGCAACATCGATGAATTTGCCGACTGTTCGAGAGAGGACCTGATTAAGCATGGTCTCAAGGCTCTGAAGGAGAGTCTGGTGCAAGACAAGGAGCTGACGGTGGAGAACACATCAGTCGGCGTGGTGGGCATCAACACAGTGGACGGAAAGAAGAAGGTCGAGCCTTTCAAGCTTTACGACGGATTCGAGGTGCAGCCATGGATTGAGAGCGTTGGTGAAAGCCAAGGCGGCGGAGAGGAGGGCGAGGGCGAGGGTGAGGTTATGGAGGTTGACAGCTAGATGCATCACCATGATGGAGGGGATACACATGGCGTCGGGTTGCTAGCTAAATAGATCATGTACAATTACAGGCTGCAAGGCAGCATTTCGTGGGTCTAACGTCGAGGCAAGTCATTTGTCATGAGTTCATCTATTCATGGGAGCGCCAGTCTATATATCCCGTCCTTGATTGTGGAGTAGAGTCACCATATGTAAAAGTCACCCGTCATAACGCCTGACCGTCTGGCCCATATCCAAACCCAATCCCAAAACGCTGGCGCCTGTCTATCCCACCTGTCTACTGATTACCCCATTGAAGCTGGTAGATGGCGTCCGACACCTTGTAGTCGCGTAGGGCCTGAATAGCGCCCTCGGGGGTGTCAGCGGTGACCAGAATATTCTTGTTGGCGGGCTTGACAAAGCCCTCCTGGGCGGCACGGTCCATCCACTGGACAATGCCGTCCCAGTAGCCCTCAATGTTGAGGAGCACAATACCACGGCTATGGATGCCAAGCTGGTTCCAGGTGGTGGTCTCAAAGATCTCCTCCATAGTACCGAAGCCACCGCTCAGACCGACAAAGCCACTACCGGGGCCACCGGCAAAGACCTCTTCAGCCATGAGCTTCTTTCGCGTGTGCATGTCCTTGACCACAGTTGTCCGGCCGTAGACGGACTCTTCAGGGACAATATGGTTGTGCTTGTTGACGGTACCATAGGTGCCGTCCCTCTCGTACTTGACGAGCGCCTCGGGGATGATGCCGTGGACAGACTCTGGGCCATTGATTGAGCAGAGAGTCTTGGCAACCTCGCCCATGAGGCCGACGGTACCACCTCCATAAACTATTCTCTATGTTAGTTTCCAAATGATAACAGGGATTTATAAAAGTCCCGAAAGAAGCCGCCGGTGAATCGGTCGGAACCGACCGGTGCCGGGCCTTGAAGCCGGGGCTCTTATGGGTCTAGTCCGGAGAGTGACTCACCTAGATCGATGTTGTTTTCGGCCATGGCCCTCCCCAGGGCGCGGGCGGCTTCAATGTGAGCAGGGCTGGCACCAGGGGCAGCACCGCAGTAGACGCAGATCTTGGTACGGGGCTGGCCGTTTGAAGAACCGTTCTGGGAGACAATGGCCTCCGGGGTGATGTTGTCCGCAGTCATGATGAGTTGCTAGTTGTTGAGTTGTGTCGGTGTAAAGACAGGTTAGAAGTGTATGTGCCAAGAGAACAAAAAGGTTTCAAAATAAAGTCAAGTTTGTTCAAACTGAGTTGCGGTCAGTTGGAATAGTGTTGTGTACGGTGTAGAAGTTGAAGAATAAATGACGAGGTGGTTGAGAACCGTAGGAATAATTCCTCTTATTAGTCAGAGCGCTATGCTGTGGCGAGGGTTACGACGAGAAAGTTCAAGAGAGAGAAGCTAGATCAAACCCCAAGAAAAAAGAAACAAAAAGAAGAAAGAGAGTTGGGACAAAGTTGAGATTCAGACAAGTTTATATAGTCGGGCAAGTCCAGAGTTAAGACACGACACGCCTATCGGGATTCGGAGCTTTTGGCCCCCCATGCCCATGCCAGGTCTCCCATTATTGCAGCCATGCCGCTCGGGATTGTCATGTCAGTGGTGTAACAGCGAAAGATCAGCATTGGCTCTGCGAGTGGACAATGCCATCACCGGAAGAGGTCAGCTGGACACGGGAATGTACAGTCCATTCTCTCAACTTAACTAGCACAGAGGAGCGATGCCTAGCAGAGCCTAGTCCAGGAGCCTGTTACATTGTCCAGAAGTTCCATTGCGAAGCCAGACGTTGGTTGAAGCGTCGAATGGCGGGGCTCGTCATGGATGGTTGACGACTCGCTTGGTGATGGCCACCTAGGCTGCTGGACCGGTGAAGGCGGGGACCCATGATGCCCTGAACGACAGTGGACGTACGCTGTAGCTCGTCGCCTCAACGTGGTACAGAGCAACGCCGACAACGGCCAGCGCAGGCGAGACGTGGCAACCAGCCAATCGCTGATTCGCGGGCCGAGGCAGCCCCAGCACGTCACCTACCCCAAGGTTAGCCACTTTCCTCAGGAGGCATGAGGCGAGGGGATTTCCATTGCGACAACTTGACACATCTTGCCCGAGGCGCGACAACCAACAACCTTGACCTTTCGACTTCAAGGTATCGTTCGTCCGGCCATTCAGTTTGCCTCGATCAGGTCTTTGCAACACCTTGCGACTGGATCACGAGCGACAATCCAAACCATGGCCGAAGCACAGGTCTTGCCCCAGAGGCAAGCTGGCCAAGGGGAGCAGCAAGGAGGAGGTGTAAGTTGTCGCAAACAGAGGTCAAGAGACCTCGACCATGGATAACAAGCTAATCGCGATCGTTACACGCAGGGATTCAACTTTAACAAGCTTCTCCTCGGCGGCGCCATCTACTTTGGCTTCAACATGGCCCTCAACTACGCCACCAAGAAGGACCAGCGAGCCGTCCCCATCAGCCACCCCGAGACGGGCGAGATCATCAAGGTCCCCGGGAACACAGAGGGCATTCCTCCGTTTGAGCTTCGACCCAAGGAGCTCAACGAGGGCGCCACGTATCGTGCGTTCCCCAAGAACGTTGCGCCCATCTGGCCTCAGGACAGCCACGTCGACATCGTCGTGACCCTGTCGCAGTCGTTCAACCCCACCCCCATCTCCGAGACCGCCGACGAGTATGTCGTCTTGCAGGAGAAGGATTTCCACCTCAGCAACAAGTCCGACAAGCGAACCGTTGAGACAACGTTTACCGTTCCCCCAGCTGTCCAGCACAATGGCACCCTCTGGGGCCACTTCTACGTTGGTCTTACCGGGAGCAACCTTGACCCTAAGCAGCCTGGTTTCGATACTGCCAAGGCCTATCACTTTACATGGCCTCTGACTCAGTACCTTCCCAAGAAGAAAGTTGCAAAGACGCGAAACCTGCTCGAGGATCTTCCGGCTCCTGTCGAGGAGTTGACCGAGGAGGAAAAGGCAACTGGTCCTGTCATCGCCAACTACTACCATCCCAATGCAACCTTTTCCTTCGTCCCTGACCTGGGCGTCAAGGAATTTAGCATGATGGGTGCTCAAATCCGACAATACATGCGCCTGGAGGCCACTGGTGCCCGAGACGGATCCGGCCAGAACGGCTGGTATTGTACGTGGTATCCTTACGCCCTCTGCTGACCTAAAGACTAACATGATAGATCCCGTTCTGTTCATCAACAACTTTTGGCAACTCACAAACCAGATGACTCTTCTCAACGACACAGTCAAGGAACTTCCCCTGCGTATTGACCTTGGCAACCTGGCCGGCTGGCAGTTCCAGCTCATGGCCACTCTTGAGACCAACTCCAAGGAGTCTGCCCGACAGGCTGCTTTCGGAGCCTCTCTCCCTGGCGGTGGCGACGGTACCGAGATTGAGATGATCAAGGAGGTTTTCCTTGACTCAAACCCTTACTTGCTCGGCGTCACCATCGTGGTCAGCGTCCTGCACATGATTCTCGAGACGCTTGCTTTCGGATCTGATATTGCTCACTACCGCAAGAAGAAGGACAATGTCGGTATCTCGGTTCGCTCCATTCTGGCCAACGTCTTCATGCAAACCGTCATCTTCCTCTATCTCCTGGACAACTCGCAAAACACCAGCTGGATGATCCTGGGTAGCCAGGTCGTCGGTATCGTCATTGAGTTCTGGAAGATTACAACCGTCGTCAACGTGCGCGTCCGTCCCGGCGCACCCGGATCATTCCTCCCATACACGGTCACCTTTGAGGACAAACAGAAGCTGACCGAGACTGAGGAGAAGACCAAGGAGTACGACGAGATCGCCTTCAAGTATATGTACATTGCTGGCGTTCCTCTCCTGATTGCCTATGGCATATACTCGCTCATCTATGATTCTCACAAGTCGTGGTACTCATACATCATCACAACCCTGGTGGGATCCGTCTACGCCTACGGATTCCTGATGATGGTCCCCTCGCTGTACATCAACTACCGCCTCAAGAGCGTTGCGCACATGCCCGCCAAGGCCATGATGTACAAGTTCCTCAACACCTTTATCGACGACCTGTTTGCCTTTACCATCAAGATGCCCATCCTGCATCGCCTGGCTACCTTCCGTGACGACATCATCTTCTTCGTGTACATTTACCAGCGATGGGCATACAGGATTGACTACTCTCGTGTCAACGAGTTTGGCCAGGGTGGTGAGGATGAGGCGGAGGATGAGAAGAAGGCCAAGGATGAGGCCAAGGAGGTGTTGGCTGAGGATATCAAGAAGGTCGAGGCCAAGGTTGAGGCCAAGGCCAGTGGTGCCGATACCGGCAAAGCCAAGAAGCGCAAGTGAATATGAGTGTTGGAAACTTGCTCTGAATGCATTGGGGGTTGTGGGTGGCAGTCAATGATGGGATTCTGTAATAGATGACACTTGTTAGTAACCATGTTGATAGGAGTTCCCAGGATTGCATTGGGTGTGGATGTTGGGTTCTTCTGACTGCGCCCTCTCCGTTTGTTGTATAAATACCATGTATTTACATCATATACAAAATTCCATCTTTACGACGTCAATATTTACACTCCAAATTCTTCATAAAATCCACCTCGTCTCTTGTCTCTTCTCGTAACTCTCCGGAACAGTCGAATTAACGATTGACCGTTCAAGCTAGGTAGGTCCCCGGCCCGCCCTCACAGCCCGTTTGGATCCACCGGCAGCGTCATGGCGGAGTCACTACAGGGGGGATTCTCAGGGACGCGACAACCTAGCATTACGGGCCCTCCAACGAGAGTCAGGGGAGCCACAAACATGAAGTGAAACCGAGCCACAGTCGGTCGGTTCCCATTCCGTCATATTGCGGAGGAGCTCGATGTTGGATCAACAGTTGGAAACAGGTGGTCACGTTGTTGTCTGGACCCTTTAGAGGCAGATCTTATCCTCCCGCCAAGCTTCACCGTTGGATTCTCCTTGTTTCCCGCCCTCAAAGTGGACGTCCTCTCCCGAGCAACCCAGTAACATTCTTTTGCACAGCCTCACCGGGGCCGACGCCATCTCTCACGATACACTCTCCCAGGGACACTCTGACGGCGGACGGGACCCCCTGCCGCTGACCCTTCAAGGACACCACATCTCCATATCTGGCTTCGGCAAAAACCTACGCTCCGCTACCTGCGATTTCGTATGCCCGCCCCACGTCGCTGCCAGGTACTCAGCCTCATGCCTTGGTTCTATTAAACAGCTCTGTCCTCTTTCTGTCTGCTCGAAGCTCCCGCCCTTTCGAACCGGAGACCGGTTCGAGCCGACGACGCCCATGTGCGGTCCCCAGTCGCTTCTGTCCCTCGCCCCGCGACGACGACGGTGATTTGAGTAGAGGTTGGAGTCTCTGATCTTGCTCCCTCCCTCCGGCCACGATACACCTACGGTCGACGATAATTACCTACTTTTCCTCAAGAGGTCCCGGGCTTCCTTCAGCTCCGATACATCACACGCGACCCCGCGCCTCCGCTCCCGGTCATTGGGAGGACCCCGAGGCCGCCGACCAAGAGTCAACCCCCGGGCGCAAATCCCCGGTTCCTCCGAACCATGAGCAGCCTCGACTCGGTCGGCTCACTGCTTGCGGCCATTGCGAAGCTAGTCGCCGAGGGACTGCGCATACTCAGCCTGGCCGACAAGACCCTCTGGGGCCCCGACGAGCACGAGCAGGTCCGCGCCCTGGCCAAGGTGCTCGACGAGGCCAAGAAGGACTTTCAAGATCTGTCGCCTCTGGTCAACGGCCAGATTTACTACGAGAGCGACCGCAAATGTAGGTTGATTGGAGGTGTGATCACCGTGAAGCTCTCCGGCTTACGTTTCCCTTAGATGAATCCATCCAGGAATTGAGAAGTCTACAGACTCGATTCAACTCGCATATAGAAAACCTAAGATACTGGAGTCGCTCCGGCGGCAAGATCGAGTCAATATGGGTACGCGAGACACACGACCTCCAGCGAAGACTACACAGAGCGCAATGCCGAGCGGCGCAAAGAATATTCAACTCGGAGAAGGAAGGCTCTTCACGGTGTCTGGGCGCATTCCTCGTCCATAGGAAGCAGCGCGAATGGAGAGACAACCGGACAGTCCCGGATGAAGCAGAGTATGTGCGGAGGTACCAGGAAGAGCTGCGGCTGTGCAACACTGTCGGGTCGTTCAAGCGATTCGGCGATCGAGACATTGCGTTTGTGTGCGACTACTGCGACGGCCACATTATATGGGAAGACCTTGAGAATATGCCCTCGATCCGGTCGTTTCAGGAGGCCGCCGCTTCTCCCATCCTGACCTTGTCGCCAACGACAAACAACCCCCACTGGCAGGCGACAGGTTTCAGCTTATCGGGTCATCAGGAGAAGCAGGTTGTGTTTGCGCCAGTTGCCATCGCCAACCACGTAGCGCCGCAACCCCGAGACTGGCTGGCCGGCCTACTGTGCCCCTACTGCGAGGAAGACTCGACAGAACCCCAGGAGCAGTATGATGAGGAGGACGCCTACAGGCCGGATCTCGGGTACGAAGACATGGTGGCATATCAGGAGCACCTCGAGTGGCAGCACACAGTCACCGCACCGACGTCACAACAACCGTCGACTTCGAATAACTGCCAGGTTATGTAGATCAGCAGCAAGCGTGTGCTTTTTCTGTCACAGGTAATGGTTACCATCTCCATCCTTGTGAACGGTTTGGGTAAAAACAGTCGGGTATGGAGTTTGGAGTCAAATAGGCATGTCGAGGAACGAGTCCACATGAGTTAGGAACGAGCCCCTGGACGTTCATGTTTTGCTAGAGCCTGCTAGAGTAGGTAGGCGAAATGAATTTAAGTAAATAGTCATCCATCAAGTCTTTAACGGCGTAACCCCCATCTCCATTCTCCTTGCGTGCTGTCAGTTCCTTTGGCGGCATCACCATCTCGAGTACACTTGTGACGTGGCCAATTGGTAGGTATTATATAAGTACATATAGAAAACAGTTCGCTTGCATTCCTCAAAAGAACCGCCAATACAGGAAGACGAGAATAATAAAGCCAAGACCAGCAAAAGGTCCATACTGCTTCAGCAAGAGCTCCCAGTTGATGCGCACAGCAGCCCGGCGATACTTCTTGCTGTCGTCGCGCAGGCGGGAGCTTATCTCTCCCATGCGCTCGAGGCTATCTCCACGGTACAGCAGGTCCTCAATGTTCTTTGTCATGACCTTTGTCACGTCGCGCAGCTCGTCGTTGAGGCGGTCGAGGTTGGCAGAGGCGCGCGAGTCGGCGTAGGTGGTCTTTGTCTTTGCGATGAAGGTGTCGAACTCCATAAAGGCGTAGGGTCGGAGGGAGGGGGAGTGGACCTGGGCGGCGGGGTAGGTGGTGGTGAACTCGCGGGCGAGGTCGGCGAGGTAGGTGAAGGCGAGCTTGCGAGGGTACGAGGGGGCGCAGATGGCGAGGAAGACTACGTCCGAGTCGATGAGGTAGTGGAGGGTGTGGGCGCTCGTCTCGATCGACGCCTGCGACTCGGAGTTGCGGGTGAGCTTGCGGAGGACCTGGCGGACGTTTTGCTTGGTCTCTGCGAGGGATGCTTCGGCCTGGATGTAGGTGTGAGTGTTGTTCGGTAGAGGTTAAGATGGTATTTGGTTTATACCTGTTCGTCGTCGACCGAGGCGCAGAGCATGAGGCCTAGGAGAGTTAGCTGTTGCGCTTGAGCTATTGTAGCATAGGGGATTCTACCATCCAGCCTCGATATTTGCGTCGAGTAAATCATGTTGAAGTGTGTGTATGTATGGAGGAACAAAGGGGGTAAAAGATGGTTGCGACGTCGTCAAGGTGGTTTGAGTCTCTCTACCTATCACTACGTGTCAAGAAGCCAAGGCGAGTTAGGATGACGTCGTTAACCAGCGCAGGCAGAAAAGACAAGGCCACACCCCAAGGAAAATAGAGTGACAGCAATCACCGGAGCCTAATCGCAAAGGACAGGACTTTACTTGATTTGTAGGATTCGTAGAACTGTTGGAGAGTTTGGTTCGTGAGTTGAACGGCCAGTGTTAAAGCTGCGGGTGGAGCTCTCTCGCATGCTGGTTTCAGGGATCAGAGTTTCTGGTTGCTGATTAGATAACGAAGCTTGGCATGCGAGTTTACTTTTGAAGTATGGAACAATGTCATTGTTTACAATTTCGAGTGTGAATATAGATGCAAATTTATATATAAAATCTCTCTAGTTATATACTGGGTAAAAGATTACTGAAAATACGTACGCGTTGCATGTTGAGTGCTAAAAACTGGAGGTTGACTGCATCTCCAACCACATTCGCTCAGGTCTGTCGTAATGGTTGCTGAAAAAAATGCTTAGAACACTCTTCTAAGTTTAATATTTCTTTTCTTTAATTTGTCTACTGTGATTCTTCTAGTATCTCAAGCGTATTTGGAGAAATATTGCAATAGATGCTTGGCATATCAACATCAAAGTACATGGATATATGCCTAGTTATACTACTTTCTCTTCTCTTTGTCTATAGTATCCGACCATGAGGGAAAGGAAAAGGCATCATACAAATCATGCCCCTAGCAGGGTTTTTTTAGACTATTCATTTGACTCGTATGTTCATGTTGAGAGAAACAGCTCAGCTACCTCCTTACCTATCATTACTACTTCAACAGCTGGCGCCGTGGTTCGATAATCATGTTCACAGCAGCCCAGTCAGCGTGAGACATCTACAAGGTCATTATACATCATATTCATAATCAACTTCATACTCTTTTTTTTTTATCATCAAATCTCATCTTCCTCGTCATCAAAGTCATCCTCTCTGCCCATCTCGTACAGAATCCTTCCTCCCTCTCCAGCGCCTATATCCGTCTGAGCATCAAAATAGGGCAGCACGATACCCTCGCGGTCCTTGCGCTGCTTCTCTGTCAATCCGAGATTAAACGTGCTCTCGGGCTCCTCTTCGCCTTCACCCGTCTCACCGCCGTCTGTCGCCGTTGTGAACATGGGGTGGTCCGTCAACAAACAGACCTTGCCGAGTGCAGGTGATGCTGCTTCCTTGGAGATGATGATGAACTTTTCTGAAACAGTCCTTCCACTTCTTCGGCGGAGTTCCATATGTACCACAACCCCATTGATTTCCTCTTTCTGGTCCTTTCCTCTCTCCCCGAGACCGACGAGGACGCCCTCACGATCCTCATTCAGACCCCATTCTGGTTCCTGGATACTGCGGTTCCGAGCCTTTTGCCGCTCAATCTCTTGATAGAGACTCGAAAGTCTCAGGATGGCCGTTGCTAGGTGGCACAATACTGTGAACGGATGGGGTTCGTACTCGCTGAATGACCTGGGCAACACAATGGGCACGTCGTCGTGGTACGTAGCAACGATGGATACCGCAGGGGTGATGATGCTAGACAAGAAGCTTGCGAGGGACTGAGGAGCAGCGGCTGCCAGTGCATTCAGAGAATCGATGATCACCACGGCTCCTATAAAGATGTCAGAGAGAATCACGGCAGATCTTGGTTGTTACTTACTCTGTGTGGGCTTTCCCTTGTCAACCAGCGGGTTAAACGCAGGGTAATGAGTCACCAGCTCTTTGCGAACAGGTTGAAGATCCCGCCCTGCAGCTTTGATAAAGATGTCTGCATTCTGGGGCTTCTTGAGTGTCGTCAACGACAAAAATATCACTTGTGTTTTTGCGATCTGCGATTCTTAGTCACAGGTATCCCACTTCCACAAACAAAACTCACCTTGGCGCGAGATACAAACTCGTTCAGAATGGGTCGCGCAGGCTGCTCAAGATTATCTATGACGAGAGTAAGGGGACTCGCGCCATCGCGGAGGTTGAGCAGCTTCTGCAACAGCAGCAAGCTGTGTGATCGGGCGTGGGTGTTTGAGGTTGGTGCCATGCTTCAGGTTAGGCGCGGGGCACGAGGGCTACCGCGGGGGGCGTGAACAAGCAGCGCTGAAGGGTGAGATACGATGAGTTGAGGAGTCGATGGGGTTTTCAAGGGCTTAATCGTCTTGTCAAAATCGGCTTGGTCGTGTGAAAGTATCAAGAAACTCAACTCGTAGACCAAGAATGAGGTTTGTGGTGGATGCCTTTAAAAATCAGTGGGTCTGTGTTCCAACCACAAAACGTTTCTCTCCGTCACCAAGATACTTGGAACCAGGACAATAGAACGCAGGTTCGCGATAGCTGCCCGGTAGATGTTGGAAATTATAATATTACTTCGCCTGGTCATCTCCAGCCTTTCTTTTTATGCCGTGATTCTCCTTTTCTCAGGCAAGCTCGTCCTCTGTAGTCTCGCCGTCAACGTCCATTTTCGAGCCCTTTGACTGCCCAACTCGAACAGCCTTTTGTTCCTTGTCCTCGCCATTTTCCACTTGTAATTCGTCGACCCCATTCTCGTTGCTGGCACCGTTGCGTTGATCCGACGCGACATCCTCCATCTTGGTGTCCACACTGTTGTCATCTCCGTTCTCTACCGCATCTATAGTAGCATCGCTATCATGTCCAGAGATAGCAGGTCCCCGGCGTGTCTGGAGCTCTGGTGGCAGCTCAACCTCCCAATCGTTGATGAACTTGTTGTCGAGGTACTCGTCGTAATCACCCGCCTTGCGCCGCTCGTGGGCTGCCCATGCCTGCGCTAGCCACTCGGGGTCATGCCGCCCCTGCGCGATGTGCTCTGTGTACGCGGCGCAGTCGTATCGGAAGCTGTCGTCATTCATGAGCGACCCAAGGTCAGGGCAGGCCTCTGCGCCGGAACCCAGAATGTGCTGAGAATCGGGGAACAGGGCTAGGATTTCTGCCTTTTCTTCTTGGTCGAGTACATCCCAGGCCATTGGATTTGACAAAATGCTCTGCGTCTGTCAGTAAATCACATTTGCGAAGGAGTGGGACGCCTTACTCGAAGATCGGCCGAGGCCAGAGGTGACTTGGGGTCAGTCAGAATGTTATCAGCGTCCCATTTTGACTTTCTAGGCGTTTTCCTAACGACAACCCTTTTCTTTCCGTTCTTTTTCCGTGAGGTTGTTGTCGCAGCTTCTTCTGATTTGGGGGTTGGCGTCGGCGAGCTATCGTGTTGACCAGATTTACTGGCGGTATCGTCGAGTTCTAGCTCGCGTATGGATGATAGAGGAGATGAAGACGGCGGCTCATTCTTAGAAGGAGTTTGTGCGCCCGCGCTGGCTACTATTGTCGCGTCGTCGGCTTCCTCCATCTTGGTTGTTGATGTTGAGATGAACGGGGTGACCGTTGGGGTGAGATGTTGTTCTGCCACTCAAAACACGACGCCGTCACTTGTCAAGCATCATCCTGAAACAAGTGATATGCAGCTCGGGGATTAAAAGCACATAAGCCGCTAGTTGATGCAGGCGATGAAATGCGTGTTTGATCGTGGTTTTCGCATTTGGACGAGCCCAAGATTGCATCGTCAAAGTACAGGGTAAACGGGCCCTTCAACTCGGGTTCCTGCAGCCAACATGGAAGCTGACAAAGCGAGTTCTTGCCAAGCTGCAACCTTGAGGATTATCATGAAGTTTGCTTCTCCTTTTATAGATCATCGCGAAACAAAAACAATTGCCTCTATATCGATTCCTCTACCATCAGGCTTCACTCTGACCCGTTGTCGGCAATCATCATGACCATCCCCCAAACACTTTGGGGTCTTTCACTTGCAACACACCCCGGACCATGATCGTCACCCCTCACCAACCCTCCATCATCGGTCGCTGTCATGCAGCTCTAGCAGCGTCCCCCGCTCGTTGGACGATGCGTTTTCCGTCGGATGCATACTCTCATGATTTCGGGCCATGATTACCGCGAACCGCAAGGGTAGCAATGGCGGATATATGCCTCTCTTCTTCCCGCATGTTGCAGACATTCCTGCCAACCATCATCGATTAACTACGGACGATTGATTGCACAACATGGCTTCTAACAAAGGACTTTGTCTTGGCTACAATGGCATTCACCCATTTGCCAAAGTTGACATCAAAGACCGTGCTTCTGTCCAGGAACTTCTTCGTACGCTTCTCGATCCTCTCGAACCATTCTTTTCGCCCCAGAAGGCCCGCGTCAAATGCCCTGGTGCAACGGCAGTCCGCTTCGACCAAACCGCTTCCGAAGTTGAGGGTATCTGCCGCCCACTCTGGGGTCTAGCTGCTCTGCTTGCCGGTGGAGGTGAATACCCGGGCAAGGAATGGTGGTTTGAAGGCATCAAGTCTGGCACAGACCCAGAGAACCCCGAATATTGGGGATACCCGCGGGACAATGACCAAAGAATGGTGGAGATGTGCCCTCTGGGTAAGCCACCTCCGAAATTTGATGGCATCATGGATTCGAGACTCACCAAATGTTCTAGGCTGGGCTCTTGCTGTTGTGCCCGAGATTTGGACCAACATGTCTGACAAGGAGAAGGAGAACATCGAGAATTGGCTGGGAAACTCGATTAATGAGAAAAAGTTGGTCCCCAACTCGGATAAGTAACACCTTGACTGACATCCTTTCTAGCATGCCCAACACCAACTGGCTCTGGTTCCGCGTCTTTGCCAACTTGGGATTGAAGAAGAATGGTGGAAAGTTTTCTCAAGAGAGACTTGATAGTGACATTGCCCACCTCGATACCTTTTATCGTGGTGGTGGCTGGTCGAATGATGGACCAGAAGGCATTCACCGTGAGCTGCAGTCCTATTTGAAGTGAGGTCTCGTCTAACACCAACAGAAATGGACTACTACTCGTCCAGTTTTGCCATCCAACTTCTGCAACTTCTATATGCCAAATTGGCGGGAGAAGAGGATCCGAAGCGAGCTGAAGAGTTCAAGAAGCGAGCGCAGATGGTCGCATTGGATCTGATCCACTACTTCGACGATGAAGGTCGAGCCATCCCCTATGGCCGAAGCGTGGGTTACCGTTTTGCCATGGTTTCCTTCTGGGGAGCTCTGGCCCATGCCGACGTCGAGCTCCCTGCTCCATTGACCTGGGGAATGGTCAAGGGGGTGGTTCTTCGTCACCTGCGCT